GGGTTTGAGCCTCACCAAGGCTCACATGTAGTATATATAGGTCTCTAAAAGAAGCTACGAGGCCTTAGTCTTATCCTCCTAACTACCTTTAAGATTCTACAACTTATAAGGGACTTATGCACTTTCTTTCTTACAAAGACTGCACTAGCTATTGGTCTTAATATTTTCTACTAATAGATCCAATATTTTTGTATTTTTGACATCACTATGGTATTCAAAAATATCCAATAAGCCTAGGAACTTGGGGTGGCCTTCAATTCTTACTCCATTTCTTTATAATGGCTCTCAAAATAGTAAAAATTATTTTTACTAAAGTCTTAAAAATTATTCTAAATTTATTAAATAAATTCAAAATAAAATTTAAATAAATTCTAAAAATTTCTAAAATAAATTTATAATAATAAAATCAATTTAAGACTATATTTTTTATCTTTATTATTTTTTATAGTAATAAAATTAATTTAAATCTATTATAAATTCTACTTTGTATATAAATAAATAAAAATACATGAGGTTCTTTTTCATGCTTTTTCTAACTACTAACATTTATAATTTTTTCAAATAATACATATAAATATAATGCCAATATAAATATTGATCTTTATAAATAATCCTTAATAATCAATTATAAGTAAAAATACTAAACCAACTAAGATAATTGCCTCCAAGACTTACTAAAATTATATTTTTACAACTAACATTCTAATTTTTTATTAGTTTAAAGATTTCTACGCTATTCACCATATATTATGATGTTAAGTATTCTAAATGCATCTTTTTGTCCTAAAACAACTAGTGAGTTGATTTGATGTCTCACAAAAATATATTTTTAATCTCAAATACCATGTGTTATTGTTGAGATAGTTAGAAGCAGTAGAAAAGGTGATCCATGCCCAAACTTAATCAAAGGTATTCATAGGTTGTCCTTGGCCAATCAAAAATAAGTATGGAATTTCAAATTTGTAGAGACAATATTCACTTAGATCACCATTTAATTTGGTAGCAAGTCAAAATTCAAGCAAAGATGCAAAAATCTTTGATCTATATCATGAATAGATATTATTTATAATTGATCAAGGTGTAAGAAAAATTTAGACAAATATTGGCAATTCACTCAAATTTAAACTTTTTTGACAAGATGCAACAATGTATTAAATTTTAGAAATAATACTATGTACTCATAGCATCTTGCTGACATGTAGAGGAAGAACAATTATGTAGTGACTTATTTGTGGCAGCTGCGGTATTACAAACACAAACTAGTGATATTGTAATTCAAACAAAGCTTTAATATTAAAACAAAGCGATTTCCTACATCTTTATTAAAGAAATTAAAAGATGTAAAAAATTAGGAAATCAATGAGCAATAACTTAGGAACAGATTAAAATGGAAGCAATTTGGTGACTTGGTTTTCAATTTCTTTTTTTAGGTTCTACAAGGACAAATTGGCTGCTTTCTATTTCACCATGTTAGTGAACAAAAATGGTCAAATCTATCAGAGTTAGTTGGTAATTTTGACCATCTATGTAGAGTTCATTCTAAAATTATATACAACAAGAGAGCCATCTTTTGTAGTAAAAAATGCAGGCATATAGATCCTATAAAGACTATTATCTAAAACCACAAAGGTAATATAGACAACATTGTAACATCCATTGAAATTGGTAGAGCTTATTCATGTTCTACATGAGATGCATCTAGATATAGCATCTAAAATAGATAAAGTAATATTAGAGTTTTATCTTATATTTTGAGTACCTCCAAATGGTACAAGTTAGCCTAATATTTGACAGTTTATCTCCTAGAATCACTATATGATTAATAACTTTGCTACATAAAGATGGACCAAGATAATAACTAATAAATTGGAGACCAATATGTCTACTTAATATTGGATATAAGATCTATGCTAAGGCCTTGTAATTAAATTTACAACCATTCTTATTAGAAATTATAAGCTTAGATCAACCAGCCTTCATTTCCATAAAGTACATATTGAACAATTTATTGCTATCTAAAAAAACTATTACATGGATAAAACAATCTAGGTAGCCATTGTTATTTCTTAAGCTTGATTTCTCTAAAGCCTCTAAAGCATATGATATAATGGATTGGAAATTTTTATTTTAGGTGATGGAAGCTTTTTGCTCATCTATTGAATTTATTCATATAGTAGGACTACTATTTTGTTATGCTAGGGCATATGTTAAAGTCAATATCTCACCATTCTCTCCATTTTAATTCAAAGAAAAGTACATCAAGGGTGTCTATTTGTGTCATATTTATTTTTCATTGTAATGGAAGTTTTTAATGCAATGATATGCAAAGCAAGCAAGGAAGGAAGGATCCAAGGCATCTAATTATCTAAGGATCACAAACAATAAATAATAGTATAATATTTGGATAATACATCATTTACTTTACAAAGAGAATAAAAAGCTACATATAATCTTATATTCCTACTTGAATTCTTTTGCTTGGCTATATGACTTAACATTAATTGGGCCAAATTATATGGCTATTGAAAAGCACTTAACAACTTGCCAAGACCATCATGGACTAATCATTTGAAGATAATATAGAGGAGGGATTATGACACAATGAGCAAATTACTTGGTTCTCCATTTAAACTCTCATTGAAATCTGAAGATGTGGACAAGTTTTTAAAAAGTGCATGTAAAGAAGAAACTCATCTATTAGTGTATAATACAAATTAATGCAACATGAAGAGGAGTAGTGGTTAATAGTATATTACTATCCTCATTATTCTTTTTTATGTCTCTGTAGGAAAGAACAAAGAGAAGGGTAACCAAGGTCAAGGTAACCTTAAGAACATACCTTGTTTTAGGTACCATTGAACAATCTAGATCAAAAGTATGGCTACAATGTTGCTAATCTACAATCAAAAGGGGCATTAATCTTATTCATCTTGAAGATACCATGATGAATAATGGTCAAATGTGTGGTTAAGGCATTAGAATTGGGTCAATCGAACCTCAAATTAATATTAAGATTCAGATTAGGTTACTCTCAACCGTATGCAAGAGTGAGATGATCACGTGGCCTTAATTACTTCGCTCTACCAGCATACCAAAGTAATCGTGGATCGGCTGCATGGAATCGCACCACGCAGCATGGAAAAACCTTCTTCCTAAACTTACTTTCATACCTCCAACAAACATCTACAAACTCTTGTGCTGTAGCCTGTGGCACTGCCCAACAATCACCTTGATCGGCCTTGGGTTTTCTAGAATTCGGGCATCGCATCTCTACTATTCTGGAATGCGTACGTACAAAGATGTGTGGAATGGGAGCAGGTTTATAACAATTCCGGAAGCTGAATTAAAATTTGGCTTGGCACCAAGGGAGGTAGGAGCATGGGAAGCTGCGTGTCGGATAATGGAAGGAGCCTGGAACAGTTTGCTGCGATTTAGAGGGATGAGTTTTCCAACGGGTGACTGGGTAGGCATATGTAGGGCGGATGATGATCCGCTTCCGCATTCTGTGTTTCAGATTTCAGCAACATGCAACCCAGCCAGGGACGCTACACAGACATGGCTGCCCACCTCGGTGAATTTACATCAGGTGATAGAGAATACACGCTGCCTAGTTCTAGTCTCAGCCTCGTTGCGAGACATCCCACACAAGGTACGCGTGGATCAAGTTAAACATGGACAGCAGAAAATTAGTATTCTATTGTTCTACGGGAGGATTGATCGTCTCTAGTGGGATCCAGGCAGGTTCAAATGGCGAGATGGCCAACCACTGTTGGGTTACTCAACGCAGTTGGGAAGACAACTTCTGCAATAGAAGAATAGGGTGCCGGATGCTGTGACGTTAAAATTGGCAGGCGTACTACCAAGCGCGTATAAATTGAGATGGTTGAATGTGTGGGACAACCAGCGTACACTGAAGGAAGCTGGCCTCCTATGGTTAGTCTGGCATTGTCCGGTGGCCGTCAATTTTTGGAGAGGCAGAACAAATGCGGCCGTCGACAAATGCTGCCAAGTGTGCCTCATTGGTTCTATCGAAACAGTGATGCACAGATTCTGGGAGTGCTCTTCAGCCACCAGAGCTTGGGAGTGGAGGGGAAAATATTTAGAGAAATTTACTGATCGTGATACGCCAAGGGTGCTTACGCACAGGGGGAGAAGGGGAGGGAGAGTTCCCACGGACAGGTTGAGTCGAATAGGACTGAGAAGGGTCATAGGGAGTAGTCGCACAAACAACGCATCTCACACACATAGAAGTGTAGGTAGAAGGGACACATCACTTACCCGACTAATCTAACATGGAAACAAGGGATCTTCTCGCACATAATACCTCACTATTTTAGAAAGGTGAGTCGTTCATGGTTGCTACCACGTGGTATCATTGTGTGGACTGTGGATCGAGAGAAATGATGCTGCTTTTAATGGTCGTCATTGGCATCAAAAGAAAATGTTCAACACGATGTGGTTAAGGTTGGTTGATTATGGGAGGATCGCTTAGGCGATAACGAAGGAAAAGAGCCGTAAAACATCTAACCAAGCTCCAATGCAACTGGAAAGATTTCGTCTTCAATGGTGTATAAACAAAGTTATGGCGACATGGGCTGCGGATCCCCCCTAATGGAAATTAGTAAGCCCAAATTTGGTCTAATAAGTAGGGATTAGTTGTATGCGGTCCCAGTGATGGCCGGACCTGGCCAGCACACTTGTACTCTTATTTTTAACAGCAGTAAACAATCACTTTACTTGTGTCAGAAGAGGAAAAAAAATAAATAAATAAAAAAAAAACCCCACTAACATCCCTTGTCGAGACGCACGCACGGTGACTGGACCGGTGACCGGAGACCGGCACGGGCGACGAGGAGCGTCCTGCCAGCTGGGAAGCACCCTCCCTCCCTCACTGGGAGTGAGCGAGGCAATCAGTGAGTGAACAAGCCAGGGAGGGGAAGCTTCGTGTGATGAAAACCTAATCCAGGGAGGGAGTGCGTCGGGGGGGGGGGGGGGGGGGGGTAGTGAGTGTTTCCCTGCACCAATTGTGCGTGCATGGACAGAGTCAGGAACAGCTCCAATCGCGATTTTATAACGGGAAACCCAACTGTGTTGCGACGTGTGTTTGCCGTCTGTTTGTTTGTTGCCTACTGAACAACTCCGTTGCCTCCTCTTGGTCCTCTCTGCTCTTTCCCTATCCCGCTTCTCTTCTTCTACTCTGCTCACTGTTTAATATTTTTTTCTCGTTTATGAGTTAGTTGACGAGCTTATCATGTCGTGTTCTTATTCTTTGTTGTTTTTAATTTTTTATGGTTTTGATGGTTTGTGAGTATTGGAGGGTGATTGTTTCTTTGCGGTTTTAGTTTCTTTTTGTGGTTTTGTTGAGGTTGAGAGTGTTTTGGAGTTAGGGTAGGGGTTTGGCAAAGGGAAATTGTGGCGATGGATGATCAGCCGCAGTCGAAGCGGAGGAGGAGGCCGAGTGTGAGACTGGGAGAAATCGGCTATGCGGCGCCCTACGATGCGTCGTCGTTGTGGGTGGAAGCGCCTAGGCAACGGAGGAAGCAAGTCGGAGCGGGGAAGTCGCCATCGGCGGAGGTGTTGAGTATAGGAAAGGGGAATAGTGGTAAGAAGGCACCGCGAACTCGGCCCCTCGAGCAGGTGGCGGGGGACAAAGTGGTGATGGAGGAGGAGTGGGAGGTGATTGAACCCATTGCAGCGTCTGAAGATGAGCAGAGGTTTGTGACAGCGGTGCAAAAATTGGTAAATGCTGCAGGTCCGGGTGGTAGTAGCACGCCCGTGAAGGAACAGCAGGCGAAGCGGCACACTGGCGTCTTAAGGAAAGTGAATAATAAAGTGCGCGGTAAGGGGCCTGGAGGACCCCGTCTGGGATGGAGATCGAGCGGTAAGCACGAAGGTATTAGGTCCAAACCTCCGCTTGGCGCCGATTCGCCGGAAAGCAGAGGAGACGAAGAGGACGACGACGAGGTGGATAAGGAAATTCTTCCTTTACAGGCGGACGATGAAGCTCCATTTTTGGCTGAAACATCTTCAGATTCCGATGAACCTCTAGGAAGTGGTTTGAAAGTAGAAGAGGATATGCCAGCTGATGATTCGGAGAATGGCGCCTCCGCAGGTAGCGAGGATGGCGACGCTGGCGCTAATCCCAATAATCATGGCGACGAAATACAGGGTGCGATTGAGGATGGTCCAGGGCAAGCAAATGGAAAAGGGTTTAGTAAAATGAAACAACGTGAGGGAGAACGAAGATCAGGAAGGCAGGCTGCAAGTAGGGACGTGGAAATTAGGGATAGTGAGAATCGGGATATGGCGAGTGCAGATATTGTAGGTAGAGACAAGGGCGTTTCGAGTAGAGAAATCGCGGGAGAACCTAGCGGGCGCTTCCAGGCTGCTGCAGCGGTAGCAGATGGAACGACCACTATCACTCCCAGTTCCAGCCAGAGAGGTTTGCTGTCTGCAGGGGTCAGTGGATGGTTACAAGACCTTGGATTGGGAAAGTACTCAGAATTGTTTGAACTCAACGAAGTTGATACTGAAGTACTTCCACTTCTAACCATGGATGATCTACGAGAAATGGGAGTGGACGCCGTTGGTGCCCGACGCAAGATGTTCACAGCTATTCAAGAACTGGGACAGATTCGTGGAATTTAATGCACCCCAAAAGGCAGCAGGTTGATTCTTTCAAGGTCTTCTAGGTTCGGTCGAGGTTAAGCAGCAGGACATTTACACTTGTCGTGATTAAGTGTATCATTTATCTTAGGTTCCCTTTGATTTTGTACATTCTGATCAATTAATATAAGTACACGTTGCCATGCACCCTCAAAAAGCTTTTGAAACCTGGAAGTAGAAGTCACATGCTCTCTTCACTGATTAGCCTAGACCAGAAAGTTGCTTTGTCAGTTGATTTTCAACCCCCTAATGTTCAAACCTACAGTAAACTTTTTCCATCAGTGTCTGCTTAACTAGTTTGATAAGCCCAACCCGAAAGCTTGCAGAATGATTAGGTTGAGAGACTCTCGTTACAGCAAAAGTTACGATCATGGCCGATTGTAATGGTACTGCTCTGCCGAGAATTTAGTTCACGAATCGGCATTTTAACCGGATCTCACCAGACTGAACTGTCAGGACATCGAGCTTGCTTAGATCAACCATTGCATCCGCAAAGTTTGAGCTGAACTTTTGCCAGTTGGTGTTCATGTAAACCTGCTCCTGCGTGTGCGAGTCCGCCACCATGCTCATGTCGGAGGTGAGCAAACCGATTTTGTGGATGAGATTTTTGTAATACTGGGTGTCAAATCTGCGTGGGGTGATTACCTCCAGGTTGACCCACTTCGTCAGGTTTGCCGAAGGGCATTTCTTCTTCAAGATGGATGCAAAAAGAGGTGGTAGAGATGGATCGACCTTTGATTGATCACCACTGAAATTGTGGATTCGGACGTCGAAGGCAAACCAGGAGGCTCTGCCGATGGTATGAGCACCTACAAAACGAAATCTGAATTGTCATGAATTGATTTAAACTCTTGATAGGAATGATTTTGGTATACGGTGTTGCAACTGCAGATCATTGATGTTTATATGTGCGAGGAAAGATCACTAGACTCGATACCTGTTAGAGTGACCATTTGAGCAGCGTTGAATCCTTTCTTCTGGAAAGCCTGCAGTAGATCTGATACTTTCTTATCTGGGGCTAGTATGTTTTTTGGGACCTCAGTAGAATTCGACACCAATCCGTCTCTGCGCCCAGCTAGGACCCGCCAATCGCAGCCTCCTGTCTACACAAACGATTCAAGCTCCATCAAGTCTTGTACATTGTGAAATTCAATGATGTTAACGGATACACTGTTATCTTAGATGGACTACTCTTGACAACTTAGAGTGTATCATACCAGTATGACAACGTCGCGAACAGCGAACTGCAAGACATCTGCGCATGATACAACTCCAGGACAGGCTTTCTCCACTTCTTCCTTCGCAGCATCTATTGCTTCGAAGCCATGCATGGGAGCGTTGATGGGATGCGATTTCTCTGAATCGGGACCCTCCAGGAGCAATGATGCGTCGCAACCCTGATCCGAAGACACGGCATGGGCACAACGCCCGCTCAACAATCAGTGATCAACCTGACCTGGTTGGGTAATCATGAAAAATTGCATAAATTACATCTATATCGTCGAGGAGACACTTACACGAACGAAACAGTCATGATATGCCATCCGAAGGACACCAGGCGCAATCGTGCTGTTCTTCAGGTAAGATTCGTATATTGGATTACAGACAATGTTTTCAACTTCTGGACAATTATGCTCGAAGAAGTCATAATGTAGATCAGCACCATCTTCAGTATTTACTGGGATCGTACTCATTACGCCCAATATCATCAAGGATAGAGCTGTCGAGGTACTTGGTCGGAACAGCCATCTCAACCGTATGATAACAGTCAAAAGTTACCTAGAATGCTTATTTTTTCATTGGAACAGTATGTGGTTGTTGATTGAAAATCTAACAGAGGGGACTCCACTGCATAGTAGATCGGCATTCGGAAAGGCTACCCCGTTTCTGCGAGCCTCTTGAGTCCGTCAATGAGGTCCAAGCCGACCATAACTGTGAAGAAGAATCTGAGGTATGTTGCAATCGCACGATCCAATTTATATATTCAAATTTCAATCTTGGTAGAACTAGAGAAGCAGGAGGTAAATCGTACAACAGCCACGTGATCACTGAGCTTGCTGGTGATGGCCACTTGACACACAACTGTTTTGCAGGAGTTTGACATTTGGTCAAAAGTAATCTTCATCAATCAGGGTTCCTGAATTTATAGATTCAATGGATCCAATGTTTGCACACAATGCCTCCAGCATGGTTGCCAGTAATTCAAGGACGTTCACACCTGGTTTGTGTTCTGACAAGGAACTTTGATGCTTCATTTGTTTTTGGCTCTCAGCCCGTTGTGAACGTTCTGTGGTTGTGTTCTTACAACGCTCCGTGACTTGCTTTGCAACATATTTCAATACTGTTTTCACTTTGATGTCCGTCTCGTTTGGTGGACATGAGATTTTCATGGAAAGTGCCGTAGCTAAATTTTGACGCAAGCTGGGAACTGTGTAGTGGACAGTACTCCAACTGGGACCACCTTCAATCACCTATGATTGATTGCACACATGACTTTCAATCGAACCCACCAACACAGAACAGCTTAGACGAGAAGTTTCCTTTCTAGAACCTTACGACAACCGCAAGCGGCGCATCGAGTGCGTAGCAGAGTCAGTGAAGGGCAATATGCTTCTATACTCCAATCTTTTGCTGCAGTTCAAGTGTACACTATAGAAGAAAATTAGAGGAATAGACGTGTATTCTTTGCTGATGCAGCCAAAATCTCTATTTGACATTCGAACTTTCACACAATCAAAGCTGCCCACCACAGACAAGATACACGGCGGTGTTGAGTTTTGCTTACTTCTATTAAAGAAAATTATTCCAACAAGAGGGCACTGCGTTCAGATCGCGATGAATCAACAAAGCAGCTAGTGCAAACTTACGATTTTCCGCTCAAAAGACAATCACCAAATGCCTGTTGTCCCGCGACTCAGATTCACAACAGCAGCAGGTGTGTCTGTGAAATAATATTTTGTAAAGTCGACCATGAAAAGTTTCATTGCTTTATTGATTAGAAAGCCTGCAAGTCTCTGACTGGGTAATTGCAGCGACCTACAGGTCACATGCCATCGTCATTCCAGAGTTAACAGAATATCCTGCAGTGACTCAAAGCAATCTCCTAGCCCCGATCGAGACAAGCCCATCAGCCGGAGCTTTGTTCAGGAACCTCACAATGTCGCACTGGACAAAATATATGTATCTTAGAATATCGAAAGAGAGATCCACAAGACGCAGCTAGCACTAGGAGTTGGGATTAGCTTTGTCAGAAACCGGACCAAATCTGCAGACAAATATCTGTGGAGTTGAGAGGGGGCTCCGCGGAGAACAAGGAATTCAGGATCCAAGGTGGGTCGGATATACCTGGCTGCTCCGGCGGCGCCATTCCCTGGAATAGCAATACGTCCAGCTCTGCATGATTTCCTCATCTCGTGCGTTGCTACTCGCATTAGATCCTGGCAGAACTCATCGATCTGATTCTTTGGTTGGTTCCGAAGCGAGTTCATTTCCCTGCACATCATCTCGTCAATGTCGCCGCCAGGAACTTTGCCGTTGGTCTAGACTGCACTCCTGGCTCCGATTTCGTCTGCAGCGTCACCGCGAACACCGTAGCTGCAAATTCGGCATGAAATGCGACGTTATCAGCCGTCACACATCTTCCGGGGGCTTGATATTCTGGTCGGAGAATTCCTCCTCTTGTTGCAATTTGGCCACCAGAATGTCGCAACAGTGACATCCGAACTCATCGTCGAGGACTTCGCGCTTACGTCGAGCTTACCTTTTAGTCCGTAACGGACAAACAGCTTAGCTTTATAAGTCGTGTTGATGCCATGGTCTGTGTCAGGATTGAAAAGCAGGCATCTCCTCTCTTCTGGGTGCGCGCTGACTACCATGTGGTCATGGCCGTGAATCCAGCCAAGTTCACAAGCACGTCTTGCGGATTAACGCGTCTTCGTTAAATAATTTTCTTAACGATTGCTATGATTGATCATTCTACAGGGATATTGAACACCTAGTTGTGCTCCCAGTTCTTTTTTCTCATGCTGGGATATAATTCGTTTTCTATTTAGTTTTTGCGAATCGTTTCGACAACGTGGATGAAGCGAGGAACAACTTCCCGGATCTTTATTACCAAAGAGCTGAATTCACAGCACTACTCAGAGTGAGCAGTGCGAGACAAGGCACTCCCCCCAGGATACATCAACTACATGAACAAAAGTCCTCTGCAGTGCAAATGTTGTGGGGAAATACGTAAAACAATATTCAGTTAGTGCTAATGGACAAACACTCTGCAATGAACAGGTACGCGATTACACTACCCGTTAATAAATTCGAATAAACCTCCTTATACCTGGCAATTGTGAGGCTTCAAGCGAAAGAACGTAGGGTTCAGTAACATTGTTTATATGAATAATTCAACATTAACACGGTTAGATTATGAATATGACTAAGGTTCTAAGTGAAGGCATCGTCCATGAAATACATACATACAGCGAAAGTGATAGTTAATGTCACCAGACGAACTATACTACAAATTTTGTCAAAAACCAGGAAAGTAATGGAGCACAAGTGGGAAGCATCAGCTAGACAAGCCGAGATCTGATCAGGCCTTTCCTACGAAGTGGTCCTTGCTTTAGATCATGCCAGGAAAGCGGCCCACGAGGGTCACGAGGGGCAACTGTGCAACTGCTTCGCACCGTCCCAATGAAACAACACCCAACGGCGACGCTAAAGGTTTATATCCTGCAAGCTTGGGCGCTTTCGGAGCTTTAAAGAGCTTCTTAATGTTTTCGACTACCACCGCAGCTTGATTAAGCGCTAGATACCCTTGCTTGATCTCCTGCAATACGCTCGTGTCCATTGCATCAGTTCGGATACAACCCATCAAAACCCAATTCAGTAACTACAGATTAACATGGAATGCTTTGCTTACTTTGGTGTTGGTAATGTCACCGACTGCAAAAACATTGGGAACTCCTTCCAATCGCATGTTGGTGTCGACCTTCAAGCGGTCATTTTCGTCGAGCAGGTGGGCAAGATCCGTTTCCTTCAACCACTACGATCCGACGCGCTTTCCAATGCACACGAAGTGTGCATCGGCCTTGATATGCGTCCCCGTTCTTCGTCACATAATCGGGTCCTGTCAGGTTTTCAACCTCTATTCTGCAACCATCTCGCCAATCACTCAATTCAGCAGTTTATCCCTCATGAGCCCTAAACCTGAAGTCATTTTACATCAGCATAATAAGCTGCAAGCAAGATGCCCCTGTACCTGTCGTTCAAAATCAATTCCACTTTCTCAGACTTCAACCACTTGTGCGTCTTTTCCGACGCTTTGTTGCCAAGGAACTCCAGGACGCGCTCACCAGAATGCACCAACGTTACCTGAATCACAGGGAAACTACCTGTCAGTATGTTTTGAGAACAGACCGATGCAATGTCTAAGAACTACAAGTGCTCCACTTCGACTGGGTTTGCAATAGGCTTACCTTCTTGTCTGGAAAGTCGGTTACAATCTCGCCAACAAACTCAATACCCACTGGTCCACCTCCGATGACGAGAACGGATTCTTTTTCTCTGCGAAATTGTAGCATCAGAAAACTGCATTGCATCATGAAGCCTAACTCACTGAAGTATAATTTGACAGTGAATGAGATTTACATACACGCTTGGTCAAGCGACTGATCACTCACCATCTTCGTAAAACTTGATGCGCTCTGCTTCAGTGCTAGGTCCGGTGTAGGTGCTACCGGTAGTGATGACAAGGAAATCGAATGGAACACGCTCACCGGAATCAGTAATAACCTCCGGTTGTGTTGACGAGGAATTCGAATGGATCACACTTCGGGCTGCGCTCTGCACAACGCGAGCTGCCTTCAAGTATTCCGAATGCTTCACAACCGGCCGCTCAGCAACTGTAGGTTCCACAGTACATCTGATTCGCGCACATGGAATCTCAAAGTACTCTTTTCTGCGCCATGTTATATTAGAAAAGCACAATGTGAGGAGATGCTCTTTAATTGTTTATCTTCCATGGCTGTCAAAATAAAAACAGGTAGATAATGAAGTGGCTGTGGCAAACATTGTTGTACGCGGAGTTTTCCAGCCTCTGTTATGTGTTTCGGTTTTTCGAAACAGGTAGAATTAATAGATTATAAGAATCTTACGGGTCGATGAGCGTAACATGAGCCTCTTGATCAAGTTATTTTGCCTGGCAGGAGTTGGCATCACAATGCGATGCTAGGCGCGTTGAACAGTTGGCCTTGCTCTACCCAAATTGTAGATTCAATCTGGCGAGTTCGTGAATGGTGTTTACGAGACGAATTAAGCGGATGCCGAGCATGGCCTACGCCAGCTTTCGAAGAAGCTTCCGATGATTGCAATACTTTAGCTTGGCCGATGGGCACGGAATCTCACCATAGCCTTCGGGGAAAAAGGGTTGGTGGTGCAGCACCCCGGAACTTCTAGTACGAGTACCGAATTAGTATCTAGCCAGATGGTTTCGAAAAGGATTCAAGCGAAATAGGTCGGATCCAGTGAGATGTTGAGGCCATGAACCGATGGATCTGAAGACTGCCGTCGTTCCTTGAAGAAATAGTGCATGTGGACAGAGTTGTGGAGGCCGCACTAAACCGGCCCTGCATACGAAGTTGCGAAGGGGCCTGTTACACTGACCACGATGGTCACTCGCCAGTTTCATCTCATGCAGCTTTCATATTATACTGAGAAAAAGGCCCAGAAATTCTAGAAGAATTTCGTAAGCTTTGGGACACTGAATCTCCCTCCAACTCGCTAGCTGCTCAGGTCAACGTATTCTATGGTTGCACATCACCCATGTTATTAATACTTCGGCTGTTCTACTGGGTTGACCTTCATGAACAGTAGGCACATCTGAATGTAAGGAAGATTTCACCCCTATGGGACTTTTCATTCGCTGCAGTCAAAACATCCACAACAATTAATATCTTGCGAGACGCATGGTAACACTGAGTCATCATCGTTGGAAATCTCACAACTGCCAGAAGTTACCTCCCTAGTGTAGGATCCTACACTTGAAATGGGTTTTTTCTAATTCTAAGACCATGTCCATATGAAATAAGATTTTGATCCAACTTCATGGCCTTCATGTCTGGACCTCCTTTAATTGTAGAAGAGCATCAAGTCAAATTGTCTGTCTTTGAACTGAAATTACTTGAGATAACCTCCTCCAACGTTGTGTTAGAACTGATGCTAGCGAAAGTGTTAATAATGAGTCTGGATGACTAAGTTTATTCCTTGTTCTCCTAAAATCAGTGGAAATTCAAGTTTTGCTCCAGTTGGGTTAGTCTTTAAGTAATCGCACAGACTCTGAAATGGAATGGAAAAATCTTTCACTTGGTTGACTGCATTCTATCTTAAACTAAGTCCGGGCAAGTAACGTGACCAGTTTAAGTGTGAATTTGAAAAACGTGAAGGTTTTACTTTCTCCAAAAAATACAGAAATCGACCTCCATACGCATAAATCAAAATTGCAAGAAAAGACCGGGGATACAACCTGAGCAGCTTGCTTAAGGGTAGCTTTGCGCTTCTTGGCCTCCTCCACAATGCTTAGCTTAATACCCTTGCCGCGGGGAAGGGTGATCCAAGGCTTAGTGCCCTGCCCAATAGTGTACACATTACCCATACGTGTGGCAAACTGGTTTCCGGTGGCGTCTGTCACATGGATGATATCAAAACTACCTTTGTGCTTCTCACGATGGTGGATAACACCAATACGCCCTCTGTTTCGCCCGCCGGTCACCATAACAATGTTGCCAACGTCGAATTTAATAAACTCAACGACCTTCCCTGTCTCAAGGTTGATCTTCACTGTGTCGTTAGCCTTGATAAGAGGGTCTGGGTATCTATCATGAGGCAGATTGATTAGATCAGCGTGTCGGACTGTACAATTTATGCTCAATTGCACCATACTATTCAACAGGAATCAAATTGATGAACAATGAAATGATGAGGATACTAGTCAGAGAAACAACAGCGATCCATTGACTTCTAGTGATTGTGAGGCCCTACCTGATGGTGCGACCATCGAAGGTGGTGATGTGGGGAACACCCTTGTCTCCAAACTGAGCAGACCTCACTTTGCACAGCTTGTACTGTGCTCAAACAATCGATGAAGAGTTCGTTAAAAATGCAGAAAATATCTCTGCCACTTCAAAACAAGCAAATACTACACATGTGACAGGGAAAATTACGAGTTTCAAGAGATCATTGTGAGACCCAAAGTAACTACTTTCACATGTCGAAATCATTGAAGAGAACATCAAAGAAAGAATGTTACCTTAGCTTCCTCAGCACTGATGTGATGAAGGGTGAAACGACCCTTGTTGTCGTACAATAGACGAAAATTCTCGTTGGTCTTGGCAATGGAGATGACATCTGCATTGCAAACATAAATACGAACATTAAGTGGTGCCAAACCAAATCATTAAATAGATGTAAGAAAAAGGATCCATAGGCAGAACATGCGTCAAATTCATGCGCGTCTTACGCAAAGCACTAATCATCTTTACGATTACAACATGTAGAGAATTAGAAAGACATTGCACAGTGCAAGTGACTGTATGCAAGATAACGTACCCATGAAACCTGCAGGGTAGCACTTGTCAGTGCGGACCTTGCCATCAATGGAGATGAGGCGCTGCATAACGATGGCAACTACTTCGCGGTAGGTCAAAGCATACTTCAGCCTGTTCCTCAGCATAACTACCAACGGCAGACATTCTCGCTCCTTGTGAGGTCCCGGAGAGGGCTTAGGTGCCTAAAGTAGAATAAGTCAAAAAAGTAACGTCAAATCGCTGTTCACCAAATGCAACGAAACTACGCCACCTAAACTCAATCCTATTCCGAGGAGGAAAAAAAAAGGGGGGGGGTAAAACATTGGGAATCATCAAAGAGCATTATGCAGAGTTGAACTAAAACTTCAGTAGATTGAACTAATGATCCATCTTACTCCTCATTCAAACCTTCTTTTAATTACTGAAAAGACTACGAGTGTGGTCTAATCCACACAATCCGTAAAGTTTTTTTTTTTATTATTGCAGACACTTCGAAAACTAAGGGGGCAGCTCCAGGAACCCTGTGCGTTCCTATTACAGATCAACGAAGCCAGAAACACCAATTCAGGTCAAAGTAAAAGAACTCACAAAGGCGCCACCCAATTTGTCGAGCATCCAATGCTTGGGCGCATTGAGCCTCTTCAAATGCTTCTTCAAACCACGAGCCTGAAGAAAAAAATAACAAAAAAAACAAAAACAACGTAAAAAAATAAAAAAAAGAAAAAAATCAGCGCACATTTCAAAAATATGCTACGAAACCAACCTCAAAACCCTCAAAACCCTAATCTACCCCTCACCTCAGCTTCGAACTCTCACCAGAGAAAAAGTGGATGAGACATCACACAAGAAGCCAGAAAGAGGCTCATAGGAAATCGGATCGAGCAAACAGTGAAGGGCAGGAGGTAGCACAAGAGTACCATGATGAGTGTGTGACGAGCTGGGGCTTCGAAGCAGCGGAGTGGCAGAGCACGAGCTGGCTGCACCGCAACAACACCGCAACGGAGAGACCTCTCTTTGCGCTTCTGGTCTCCCTCCGACTGCTCCTCGACCCCATATTTCATTCATCCTAAGTGCCACATCCTTCTCATTTTATCATCCATTTGTACTCTGTTCGTTTCTTCTCGGTCCTCAGCGTCGAACTCACTAACTGTGGAAGGCTGTTTGTCCTCGACCAACGGAATAATAATCCTTAGTTGGGCAATTTTTTTACAAAGAATTTGGAACCATTGTAAATATGGTATAACTAGAGTTTTGTTGAAATTTATCATGGTAAGTTACAAATTGGGTGTGAAGTTTATATTTATAGGTTTTTGTTTTATTAAAGATGGGAAAAAGATTATTCTTTTTTTGCTCTAGGTTTTAGATTCTATAATTGAGTTTGATTTGAAATTTTTTGTATGTATGTGTGGGTCTAAAAATTGCATTTTACATATGATTATGAATAAACATTCAAATCAATATCTAAGATTAATTTATAAAAAAATGAAAAACATCGTGAAAAAAAGTATGCTAAATGTTTATAATATTGTGCAAATTCAAGTCATAGCACAATTTTATAAACATTTAGCATACTTTTTTGAAACGAATCTATTTACTTCCCGGATTGTGCCCAACCAACAACCGCCCTTGAGCGAAGGCGAAGCTCCCAGTCAAGCTAGTGGGTCGCGCAGTTCTGCGCACGGAATTCCATCTGCTTCAATCCACCATTGGAACCATGAGAGGAATCCCACGGTTTCTAGACGCGCAGATGTACGCACGGTATTTGTCCATCGTCCAGCTATTGGAACTTAGGGGGGCTTGCATTTACGGTTGCTTGGCGCGCAGTTGTACGCACAGTTCCTATCTCCCTCCCTCCCCAAGCTTAAACCCTGTCACGCTCTCGGCGGATTCCATTGCGGCAAGCTTCGCCAATCCATCTCGGTCGCTTTTCCGCATGAATTTGCGTTGATGTGGAAGGGAGGATTGGCTCTACAAGAGCTGCAGTTTTTATATTAACACTTGGGTTTGCTTTAGAAACTTCTCGCTCTGAGCATTGGTGGTTTTTGCGGATAATTCTGGGTGTTGGAATTGGAGCAAGCAGCGGAGCTGTGGTTTGGACACCATGGACGTCGCTTCTGCGAGCCGAGTGGTGTCCAGCGCTGGTGGCGTTGCGGACGGTATGAGAGGGTTTCGGCGATGTACTCCATTGGGTGAGGACCTCGTAATGTTGGTGAGATTGGCCGACACTCGGAATTGGCTTCGGTGTGAGCAGTTGGTTGAGAACAGGAAACGGATTGTAGCGCAGAGTGTTGGAAGCGTGAGAAGGAATAGGAGAGCTGTGTGGAACGGGATATCGGACTGCGAGAAGAAGCTGTGGATGGGTTCGTCTGGGTTAGGAACACAAGTTGAAACCCAGCTGCCAAGGACGCGGTTCGAGAGGGCGCGCAGAGTTAGGGATCAGAAACCCCTGCGGGTTCCCATGGCCTCATTCTCGCTAGGGTCGCCTAATCAAGGTGATGAATGGGAATCCAAGCTCAGAAGTGAAAGTGAAGAAGTGGAAACCAATTTAAGAAACGCAATGACCGAAGAGCAAGTGAACAAATGTTTAGATGGGGTTCCCGTGTACACTGTGAGCAATTCGGCGAATGAATTCGTGGTTGTTTCGGAAATGAACTCTCCGGAATCGTATGGCATTATCTGCTTCCGTGAGACTGACGCTGAAGCGTTTCTTTCGCAGGTATTTGCAAGTGTCTGTAGGTCATTGAGATGGTTTTACCATAAAGTGCATCTGTAATGCGATATTCTTATGAGGATTACCTCTTTTGATTGCCAACGAGAATGCTAGTCATAATAAATAAGCTTAAGATCTTGAAATGTATGTCGTAATTCCTGTGAATTTAAAAGTGAATGTTGTTCGTTCCTTTCACAAATTGTACACTGAAGCATAAGCTTGGAGAAACAGCTTAGTATGAATTATACACCTTGTCTCTTTGCGGCAAATGAATCAGGTTAACGTTTCCTCCTTTTTGTGTAGATACGGAGTCGTGATCCTTCCGCAGGTAGTGATGTTAGAGTCACAGCTATACCACTCGGTAAGGTGGGCATTTTAGTCGATTACTTTAATTCTGTACGTTGAGCCTCAGTGCATGAGTTTCATCCTTTCCAAAGCATTAATTCTTTGAAATTTGCATGGATGTGCGTGGAGTGAACTTCATTCTCTCATTCTCTCGCTTTCGCTCTCGCTCTCTTTCTCTCGATATAAATAAGTAAAAAATAATTGCAAACTCCTATTTTTTATTGTTGATAAATTTGTATTCGAAGGTCTGAATGAAACTCCTATGTTACCCGCAGGTTTTACAGCTTAGCAGTAAAGAGGGAGAAACATTTCGATTCGTTCCAGATCCTAATCAAATTAGGAATGCATACGAGGTATTTGACTTTCTTTTTGCTATTGCCGAGTCATATGTGATATGTAAAGTCTAAGAAGCTTCAACAACGCTTTTTGGTTGCTCTCTGGTCTCAAGCAGTTAGTAATTAGGAGAACAGAATTCACTTGAATGATAACAGCTTCGGACACCAGAGGTAATTAGTTTGTATATGTAGTAGTTCTATTTGCTGTTGAGATTTAATTTTTCCTCGACTTTTGAAGCCGAAGATGAAATTATGGGCCACAAAAAATCGTACTCGATAGTACTTGGATCATACTTTCATTCACACAAATACAAGCTGGTTCAGGGTTATCACCATCGTTCACTTGTTAATATTTTGAATCTAGGTTAAAGCAAGGGCTGGGGAACTTAGCAAGGCCTTTGAAGGAGTACCGGTTTTCCAGGTACATCAGCAAGTAAATCTGCGTCCTTCTCAGAACCGTCTTGCTTTGAGTACAGTTTTGGCCATTAAATTCGAGCTTTGTTTATTTGTTTGCAATTCGTAGGTATTACTATCTTGAAATTGGAACGACTTGTATCACTACTAAGTCACGATAATGGTTAACGTTATCGGCAGTCTGAGAGCCTCACCTTAAACAGCATCAACCGACGGCTGTTGCCTATTTTCTTCTCTAAGGTGAGCATTCCGGCATTCCAAGTACAGGTCTTTAACCAACTACATACAATGATTTACCAAACATAGTGTGCCCTCTTCTGATTTGAGGAATAAGGTCGTTCGAAACCCCCGTCAGCTCGAAGTGCTTACAGGCTGCCGCTAGGCGGCCCCAATGTATGGATAAGCAGTATTGGTTAAGATCATGTGTTTTTCCTTCTGATGACCTTCAAGAAGTCGAATACATTTTAACATCGGTATTCTGGTCTTTCAATAGTCTATTGTAGTTCTAGTTGTGAAATCTCTTAGCATTTTTAAAGGGACTGAACCATCCATGTGCATCGTTTCTTGTTGACAGGAGGATTTGGAAACTGCTCTTCAAACAGCTTTCGAGGAACAGAAGAGGGTGGATCCAGCATTAGAGTTCAAACCAAATATTCAGGTGTGTGTTACTTTCAATTGTCTCTTTTGTTAGTAATCACCTCGGTATTTTGTACGTGTAGATTGACTGGGGCAGTTTTATCCCTCATTCGTTCATGTGTCATTCACAGCACCTCTTTCTCAAGGCTCAGTATCTGCTGCTTGCTGTTTTGAGTTATCTGTTGCACAAAAAATCTCTTTTACTTTGAAAACCTTCTGTGGTTTGATTATTTTTGCTTGTGTCTGGCAGGTGGACAGCCTTGAAGATATCTTGGACATGATGGAGGTATGTTTATATTGCTGTTACATCTTTGTATTAGTCTTCAGATGCTTATTATTGTTATTACTCTGTTAGCCTCATTGAGACTTACTGTTGAATGTTAGTAACAATCAGATGTATGATTGAGAGTTCACTGTTAACTCCTTTATTAGTTGAAATTGTGTTCAAAACTCTGCTTTTCCAAACGGTGTGTTTATAAATTCTGTTTTGTTTCAACTACTGCAGGGCAGTGAAGAAGAGACACAGCGTGCCGAAATTGTTTTTATACCAGCAGGAATGGATGTTTTTAAATATTTAACCCAATTTGAAGGCGCAATTGCCAGATGAATCAAGGCCTGTTACTAAATTTTGTCACGTTAAAGGCTCTTGGTCTTCAGGTCAAATCAATGAAACTACAAACTAATGAAAAGTGTACAGAAAATAGGTGAATTATTCTAGTATTTTCTGATGTTATTTCTACGTGGGAATCAACAAAATAAAAGAGGACGTTTCAAGGTTAAAAGAATCTACTTACGATGACAAATCTTTTATCCAAAATAAGTTTTAGCCATGAATAAGCATAGCTATTCTATAAATGGTTGGATGTTGTCTAATTTTGATATCACTGTCATTCATTTATTTTTGTTGTAGAACTTATCAATGGTGTAGAAAATATTATAACTCTTAATTGCAATTTATAATGTCATAGTTTCATAATAATATCATAAATTCATTGTTTAATAAGGATTTTGAATAAATTATTCTTTAAATTTAAGTCTATAAAATCTATGATTTTTGTAGTGAGTTAGAATTCTATGCAGTTGAATTTTTTTTCGAAGGACATTTACACTTTCTTTCTTACAAGTATGGATGAAGTTATTGAAATTAAATTTGGTTTTAGTTATTTAAGCTTAAACATTTTTATGGTTACTGCATGACTTTTTCAAATGTATTTTTTTTTTTTCATTATGTACTAAGTGTAACATTGATGAATATATTTGTATGCAAATGTCTTTCAAAAATGTGAAAATATATACATTCTTAGGAGAGAAGGTGAGAGGTTGCAACTTTCAAACCTTGTGATTGGTTAAAATTACGAAGTATCTTTTAGTTGGCTTTATACTTGAAAAAAATAGCTAAAATGTTGCGAGCTAAAAAAAAATGAAATAGAATGCATTTTTTCTTGTAGTATATAAATAGTTTTGTTGCTTATAAATTATGCTTGAACCAATCAAAGAGATGGCTTTTACAAAAATTTAAGAAGTTGTGTAAAACATTACTAAAATATGTATAAATTTTAGATAAAGATATATCTATTTCTATTTTTAAAATCTACATTTAAAATATAAGTAACCATTTTTTAAATAACATAAAAGATAAGAAAATTTATGTTTATTTCATGAATTATTTTTGCTTTATACTATTTCTAAAGAAGGAGGTTTTTAAAAAATAACTTTTGCTCAATAAGCATGAAACATTCATAATGCTTTTAGACCATAACCTTTCAATGTAGGCTTCTAGGTTTAAAGACTCTTTATGTATTATGTTCTCACCCCATTAACTATTTGGAATGGTACTTTCTGATAAGGATATCAAAAAAATAATTCATATTAAATAATAATAATAATATAAATAAAACCAACAAACAAACAAACAAACAAAATTTCCTTTTCATTGTATTCACATTTAACCTTTCATCTAAAAGTTATATTAGGGCAATGGTCAAGATGGATGAATGAAGCAAACAGATAACAGAAACAATCCACGCCATTTCATCCACGATACCGGGGGTTAATACCCGGGCGAGAACCGACGTAGGCGCATCGTGGCGGTGCATGCGTACGTCGCCGCGGCGCTCGCCATTCTCGGCAGCTCCGGAGTAATAACTTCGCCGACCGCTCATCGCATGGCCGCATGTCCGGCATTGCATTGCGTTGTCAGCGATCGACTTGGACGACCGATTCCTTGTGTCATGCGCCTTCTGGCGAGCTCTCTCTCGACGTCTGGGACCCTGTGTGTCATGAGCGGTTATGGAAATTGTGTGTCGTGGAGCTGCTCTGGATTGCGTTTCTTTTTGCTCGTTCTGGCCTCAGAGGGATTTGCTGGCGTAGTTTCTTCGAACGAGGAGGGTTTGCGTTGTGTCAAATTTTCGTGGTATCGAACCCTGCCGCGATCTTCGTGGCTGTTTGAACGTAAAGGAGGACCTCGGAGCTCGAGTAGTTTATCCGCGTCGTTGAGTGTTGGAAGCGGTTCGGAATTCGTGGCGAGGGTGGTTGACGGCGAGGCGGCAGGCTGTCCGGGGGGGGGGGGGGTGGTTATGAATCGTGTAGAGATCATGTGCAGCCATTCTAGGTTTTGAGGTTGTTTAATTTCTTGTAGGTTTTGGTGCGGGTTTTTGTGGTTGCGGTAACCATTCTCCATGTAGAACCCACTTTCGAATACTTTCGAAAAGCTTAGAAGCATAACCTCGTCGTTGTTGCTCGTTGCTTGCTCACGGACTGTTACGAAAGTGCTTTTAAGTTATTCTGTCATATTGCTGCGAGGCAATTATATTGATCCCTTAATTTTTTAGACGTAACTTGACACTGCTTGGCATACCACTATCGTTGTTATGAGTTAGAGTATGCTGGACTCAAGATTGCACCGGAAAGAAGGATCGAAGATAGTCACTTCAGGTCAAAAGCATCTCCAAAGCATTATTGAGTTCAATCAGCCGTAAACATGCCTTCAGTTTCAGGGGAATCGGGGTTACTTGACAGGATTGGGAGCCAAAGGGAGGTGGTAGTCTCTTTGGGTTGTCTCTCCCTCGTTCTTCTCACACTTCTTTTTGGCCGTGGAAGCGCTGACGTGCTTCTTCTGAATACAAGAAATGAATCTCGATCTTTTCCAGACATGGAAGCTGCCTTCGGTTGGTCCCTGCGCATTCTTTCTCCTATTACATGCTGTCTTTGAAATTACGTTGATTTCATACATATAATGTTCTGGATGTGTTGAATAAGATGTTCTCGTCATATCCTGATATCGGGCATTTGTATTTCTGCAGCTCGTCCCATACCAGATGAAGGTGTGTCTGGGATTTTACACGTAGCAAATCCACTTGACGCATGTACCCCTCTTAAGAACGACATTCCGAAGGGCGAGCGATTACCTCCTTTTGTTGTGATATCAAGGGGTACCTGTAATTTTGATAAGAAGGTGAGAAATGCTCAAAAGGCCGGGTTTCAGGCTGCTATTGTGTACAATACTATAGACTTCATCGACGAATTGGTCACAAGTAAGCACTCTGGTGGAATCACCTTTATTTCTGTGTGCTGGTTTTGAAGGTTTTGTTTACACGTTTCTATGCAACTGGGCACCAAATTGCACAGGGCCATCATTTGACAGCAAATGCTAGTGGTAGCAACTCTTCTGTCAAACGCATTGTATTACACTATTCAAATCTTCTTGGCTGCATATGCAACCTCAGTGATTAATAAGCTAGAGGGATCCATTGCACACCGTACAGATCACTTTATAGACATTGTGCATGTAATCTTTTACTAATTATGGGAATATTCCTCCATTACCCGTCTCTATGCCTGAGATTATTGTTGTTCGTGACGTCGATTGCTAATTGCTTTCTTCATTTTTGCAGTGTCAGGCTCAGATGAGGATATTGACATATATGCGGTATTTGTCTCTTGGATTACTGGCCAAGCTCTCTTGGGTGCTGTGGGAGAAAATAACACATGTACATTACTACCAGCTGTTAAGGACAATGCCTGGTCAATCACAGTTTTTTCTTCGATCACTTTTCTTGCAGTGTCAGCGGTGTTGTCAACATTTTTCTTTGTTCGACGTGATAGATTACGGGGTCTTGGTTCTCGGCTCTTATCTCGAGAACTATCTAGAATGGATGCTCGGGATGTGGATGCACTTCCTACATTCGTTTTCAAAGGCGCCGGTAGTGATGAAGCTGGTACTGGAGAGACATGTGCAATCTGCTTGGAGGACTATGAGAGCGGAGAAAAGCTGCGACATTTGCCTTGTCACCATGGTATGCTTTTCCACTGAACCTAACATTGCGGACTTGATTACTACAATTCAGTAGATGCCGGATGTCCACTGTATTATTGCATTCATGTCTTGATTCTACGTATTATGATTATTTGTAACCAATTAATTTGTGTTATAGTGTATCTCCAATTATCATATTACTTTGCATATAGGATCTCCAGTTTCTGAAATGTGATATTTATTGAAGTTTTCTGCAACGCTATGACAATCGTAATAATTTAAAATTTCATATATCAAGTGGGGAAGGCTTATTGATTGTGCTGAATATTCTCTTATGTGTCACCTGCAGACTTTCATGTCGGATGCATAGATCAGTGGCTACTCACGCGGAAGCCTTTCTGTCCAATTTGCAAGCAGGATGCAAACGTTACACCCGCTTACCCAGCTGCTACAGAGACAACTCCTTTGCTCGTTTCCCCTGTTGTCTCTATTCCCGTCACGTCTTCAGCAGCTACGCAAACGTCACCAGTAGCCTCTCCTGCCGATCATACCCCCGAGTCGTCATATGCAAACGTGTCGGGAGAAGATCTGTGTTAACTTCTGTGTCAAATATCTGACTTTCAGAAAGACATCAAGTGGCAGAAATCGTTACGGGGCGAGGTGTGCCACATGAGTTTTTACAGATTGGACTCTAATTAAGTTCATTCATGTATGTTAGGAAGGATGCAGTACACATCAAGGTTCCTACCACTTCAATGGCGCGCCATGCAGGTGAAGATGGCTAGCAAGTGATGTTTGTGGTTTTCGTAGCTTCCTTCAATATCTCTTATTGAAGATGATGATACGAAGGATGTGAATATTGGCGGGACAGTTTATTGTAGAGCATTGGGTATGTTCTGGTGTACAATAGATGTGATTCGAGCAAGCTGTTAGAGCTGTTGCAATACTGGTGCAACGAGGAGGAGACTTAAGCTAGTTTGTGTATTTACATAGGTTTTTAATTCGACCATCCGCCTGCTTTTGTTTATGTTGTCTGTGTAGACTCCAGTATCCAATTGTGTGCACATCGACACACATAGCCGTCGTAGTGCCCTTCTCTATTCATTCGATTAAAATTCAACTCTTAGCAATTGCCAGGCATGAAGGAAAGGAACAGTGTACCCAATTTTGTTAGTATTTTTTTTGATGACATGTTTAGAATTGAGATTGTGCGAGGGTTAACAGGAATCACTTGCAACTGAGATTTTGTAAGATACAAATTTGTGGGAGTAGTGAGCAATAAGTGTATTGTAAGGGCAAGAGTAAAAAGGGACGGTAAACTTAAATTAGTTAGGAGTGATTTAAAATGTTCATATTAGTTAACATCCAATTTTTATACCAATTTTTACATCAGGTTGTCCAATGTGGAAAGTTGTGTCAAAACTTGTATATAAAATTTTGAACTTTGATTTAATTCTACATACTAAGTTATTTCCAACTATAGGTGTTCTTTGAAAATTACCGTGCACATTCGTACAATAGCTATATTTATTAGAACAATGACATTTATATAGAAGAAAGTAGGGAGTGGATTATATTGGGTGTTGTTCCTACCGTGTTACACGTTTCTTTTCATGAAACTTGCAAAACATCACTTTCAACACTGTAAAACACACATCTGTGTCAGACAACTCTTCACTCACCTTACTCCACCTAAATTTCACACTGCAGTACGCTTTAATCGAGAATAATTTAAGGCCATGTCCAGATGGACTTTTTTTTTATTATGCTATACTATGAAGCAATGTACAGTTCAAATTTTAGCCGCGTCAACCAAGCAATGCAGAGCCTTTAAACCTAAATTTCTAATGTCGTTAGTAAATAGCAAACCAGCCTTTTGGAACTTGAAATGTTCATTTGCTTGGGTGCTCTTCCTCACTGCACTGGATCGGCTTGTATACACTCATCCTATACATAGTCTCACTCATCTGCAACTACTTCCACAGCCACATTCTCTTTTGCTTCCTACCTCGTGCTGCGAAGTCCAAGAACCCTAATTGCCCAGGGCCGAAGGCCTAACCAGTCGATTATTAACCAAAATATTAAGAAAAATATTTGAAACCATAACTTTCCACTGCTGACTACAGGAGGGGGAGCAGTTGAAGCTGCCAAGAGCTCCACTGGCTTGGATGAGTCCAGAGCCTCAGAGGAGTTTAAAACTCTGGAGGAATCCAAAATAGTAGGTGAGCTCAGGTCAAGAATTTCTCTAGGGCTTAATGCAGGAGCTGCTAGACCCCCTGGAGATGACACATGTGAGAAGGACTCCACTGCCCTTGAAGAACTCAAAACCCTGGAGGACTCCAAAATGACTGAAGAATTTGAACGAAGCTCCTGGTCACTGTCAGGGGAAGCTAAAGATGTTAAAGGTAGTACGAGCTCCAATGCCCTTGACGAACTCAGAACTCTGGCCGAATCCCGAACACTAGAAGAAGTCGAAATCCGAGATGAGGCGACTCTTCTTATCAGGGACGTCGCCGTATTGTGAATGTGACGGAACGCCAATTGAGCTTCCAAATTGTCATGCTCCTTCTGGAGCCTGCTCTTCTCAGCCGCGCTGATACTGTTAACCTCAACGCATCCTCTCACCAAACTCTTCGCCGTATTTTTGGCATAGTCCCAGCAATTGGCATTTATCAAGCTGTAATTAGGATTCTCTTTCTTCAAAATAGCGAGGAGAGCTTCCAATTGCATACGCTTCTTCTCACCCCTGTCACAATCGATAGTGAAGCATCGGACGCCCTCGTGCAGCACCGCATCTATTACACTACTCGGAACATGAGTAATATGAATCCCTGCTTTGTCTCCGCCAAGTTTGTGAGCTTTAATGTAAAGAGCTTCAGCACTCGGCTCTCCAGCCTCGATCACAAGAATAAGATAGTCATGGTTGATTAGATCCTTCACCTGCACAAAATCCAGATCCACAACACGCGCACACACACACACACACAATTCAAAGTCTCGCCACCGATTCTTGTCGTACATTCAACGCACCAGAAGTAAAAGAATAGAGCGTGAGAGAACACACACAGATAGCAACTCACAGGTGCGATGCTCGTCACTTGTTCTTGCGACAGAATCTCCTGCTCTTGGTTGACCCTCGCAATGTCCAAACCTTCTTGACAGTAATGGATTTCCTTCAGAGCGAGGCCAGCGTCGTCACAAAGCCTCCTGTACCGCCTGTCTCCCAACTCCGAATTGAGATGCACGTAGTAATCTCCCTCCTGCTCAATTTCACCTCCAGCTACGGAGAACTTGAAGGCGTCCAGCGCCAAACGAGCGAGCACCCTCGCGCTTTTGAAAGAGCTTGGCGAGAGGCTGCCGGACCTGGAGCTGGACAGTGCACGCGATGAGGTGAGGCGAGAGGAGCTCCATCGAGACCTCGCAGCCATGGCTTTCTCCCTCTCTCGAAGATGGTGCCACCCTCTATCCCCTGTCCCCGCGCACCTCCCTTCTTCACAAAGCACGAAGTCGGTGCTGGCCCCAGAGCCCTCCTCTCCACCGACACCACGCGATGTCGCCAACGAATGAACTATTTGGATGAACTTATGTTGATGAGGCGATAATACGACGAATGATGTATCTTAATGAACTCATTGAGTTCTGAATTCGTTAATGATAAAAGTAAAAGTATTCCCACTGTGGACATTTGCTTGACGGTCATTTTGTGGTGGGATATCACACCACAAACAATTGATGTGTAATTTTTTTTAATGAAAATTCCTTCGCGTAGGCTTTCCCTTTCATTTATTTTCAAATTTTTTGAGTTTTCTAAGGATTAAAGTTTTATATGAATAACTAGAGGAAGACCTTTTTAGCAAGCTAAATGAAACACATGCATTCCATTGTTCTTTTGTTCTACTCTTTGCATTTTTATTGAGTTATTAATATATGCTCATACATTTTTCTTCCTGTTTTTCATAAAACATATATATATATATATATATATATATATATGATTACAAGTAAGAAAAAATTAATCTTGTTATTATTATTTTTGTAACACAAGTCAAGATACTACATTTTACTACTCAAAGTGTGTCGAGCATGAGGCTATGGTGAGAAAGGGGTCCTAATGTGAACAGGGAAACTCCATGAAGGGAGCTTTTTTGTTTAGAATGAGGTTATAGTGTGAATGGGGGCTCGATAACAGCGACGGAGCCCTAGCAGAGAACGCTGTCCATCCTGTCTCTGTCCATCCTGCCTCAACCAATCAATGATTTTTGTGGACAAACAAAAAGACACCATTTTTATTTTTATTTTTATTTTACATAAGTAGACAGTATTATAAAATATTCTAAAACTAAAATTATAAAATTATAAAAGATTTAAGCCACATGTGTGCATAGTATTTGAATTCAAATATTTTGGTTAAATCGTTGATTTTATAGATAAATAAGTTATGGAAGATATCAAATTTGAATCTCTTTAAGAAAGTATTATCATTATTTTGTAAAAACTTAAAGAAAAATCACAATTCTATATTTAATTAATACACACACACACACACACATATATATATATATATATATATATAGTTTTGTTTTTTTATTTTTATGCGAACAAGTTATTAGTAATATTGTTTTGAATATATCATGATCATTTTGTAAGAAAATTTGGATTATATTGTTATAGTAGGTTTTAGTAACTTGTGATTATTACAAGTTATATGTGCATCTAATTTAATACCATCTTAAATTCCTCTAAATGATCCTTGAAATTGTGGGTGTCAAAATAAAAAATAATACCTTATATTAAAATTCATTTCTTAATTTTAGTACTATGCATAGTTTTTTGTAATGGTTAATGATCTTGATTATTAATATAAACTTAAATTATATCATAAAAAGTATTGTGAATTATTTACGTTTTATAAAATAAGACACAAGACAAAGTTTATATCACATTCGAATATATATTTAAAAATATTTAATAAAAAATACAAATAAAATTATTATTACAATTTTGTGATAATAAAATACAATAGTTCTAAAAATAATACTTGTATAATTAAAAAGATTAAATTAATTTATCTATTGAATTTTATTGAGTATTAAATTTTCATACTTGGCTGCCTTAAATAAAATATATAGAAGAATATTAAATCAACCCACCTATGTTCTTACCATTGTGTACTACGTCTTGACCACACTGCCCACTCACTCGACTCCAATATTTCACTCCACTTGAATAATCAAGCCACAAAAAAAGCAAAAAATCTTAATCAATCTAGTCACTTATTTGGCATGCAATTGAATCATACAATACAATTGTGAATTGTGAAGAAGTAAAAGTACTCCAAAGATGTAAAATAGAGAGATTGGTGAGGAATACATGACTTGGTATAGGAAAATAAGACCAAAGGTGAGTAAGTTTAAGTTAAATTTAATTAATTGAAATAATTTTAATATCATTTTAAACTACTTTGTTCAATGTTTTTGCATGTTAAAAATCTAATTATATCTATAAATTATTCTTATTAAATTTTTTTATATATACAAGAATTCTTCTATATTTTTTTATTTATCTAATCTTAAAAGATATATAATAATAATAATAATAATAATAAATTAATTACATTCTTTCTACTTGAAGAAAATATTTAGTGAATTTTTCAAGTATTTAATTCTCATTTTGAAAGATTGTATAATTTTAAGCCCAAATAGTATAATTATATAATTTTTATTCAATTTATGCACAATTCTTTACAAGTTCTATTTTAATCTTACCACCTTCAGTGATATTACAACTATTGGATTATTATAAACATTTAAAATAAAATTTGAATTCTAATTAACAACACTCCAAATAATCTTAAAATATAAATAATCAGAAATAAATTCTACGTTTTTTTAAGTACATCAAACCATAACATCTTTTGAATTGTATAACCAAACTTGTACAGTAACACATTATTTTATATGTACTATAGCTTTTCAATAAGTTTCATCCTTTCTTAGATTTTTTTTGGGTTTTTGATTTTTTTGTTTTTTTTTATTTGAAAATTTAATATGCACAAGTGTCTATGGTGGTAGAAGATTTAGGTTATTTGTAGATTGCATCAAAGGAGTGTAAACATACTCTAGAACGACAAATGTAGCTGCTGCAGCCCCAGGCAGTTGTGGTTTCCTTTGGGGTACCTCTCTTCATAACCTACCTAAATAGAATTGTCTAAATTAGTACTAAATCGACATATATCTGAATTAATCCTTGTGGGGTTCCTGTGGCCTACTGAAATCCTAACATGAAATTGGGTTTGCAGTAAGTAGTAGCTGGAAACGATGAGTTTCAAATGGAGTGAACGCATTGTGGCAATGGGCCACGCTTGTGAGAAATTTGCAAGGGCATGACGGTGGGATGCGCTTCATGTTTTGGAACGCTTTTAAAATCTTCGAAAGTTTGGGTGACGCAGTTGTAGGAAGACAGTGTTGTCGGTGGATGATGCTTGTAGGTGCTTTGAAGTGGAAACTGAGGTAGATGGAGACATGGATGGTCACGACGGGCTTTGAATCTGTATTTTGAATGTTGCGCTCGAGGTGATGCTCGGAAGCCAGACAATTGGCTCGATAGGCACAATGTATGGTGTACAAACCGAATGTTGCGATCGAGCTGAGTGCGTACTCGCAGTTGGCCAAGGTGACGAGTAGAGCTATTTTCGGTGCACTCTGTGACACCTTGTAAGACATCGCCTTTCTGGAAGTTGCCCTCGAGATGCCAGTGCATTTCGTGCAGTTTTGTTGAAGTTAAGTTGAAAATGAAGAAGCATTTCAGGTCTGTTGTGAGGTGGCATTGGGTATAGAAGCAAGGCATTGGGCCTCCTTCCATGCTCAACGCGTGGGCAATATTATTTTTGGACTTTGCCTGCCTTTGGTGATCTCTGCAAGGCAAAGTCCACTCAATTTCAAAATTTGCACTTCCATGTGTAAGAGATCAAAGCACTTTATGACCTTTCACAAGAAGTCATAAAAAGAGTTTTTTTAGTAAATAGGCAAGTGACCTTTCATAGGAGGTCACAATATAACTTAATGACTTCATATTGCAAGTCAAATGTCTATCAAATACTCAACTCGATCGCGACATTTGGTTTGTACACTGTACATTGTCACGATTGAGTCGAGTATATAACAAACATAGATTGTATCTTTTGTCAACTTTATGATTAGATTTTTTGAACATAGGGATGATAACAAAGATAAAATAATGAGTATAGAATAAAAAATTTAAAACATCAAACAATTTTACAACAAAAGGATAATGGTATTATGTTTTATTGGTATAGGCGGAATAGAAAAGATTATGTTGACAAAGATTACATTTGATGACATGAGACATATGTATGGTATGATTTCAGCGATGCGGGGAAGTCGGAGGCGAAGGCTCGCGAGACCTTCTTAACTCTTTGCTTATGCAGTCCTGAGGATCTGTTTCCATGCCCACGTGTTCACGCGTTGCTTACCTATGGAGTTTCGTGCTCTGCGTCTGCGTTATTTCTACTCTCCCGGGGGGGTAGTTTTCAACTGTTTCTTCCATGACTTGCTTGTGCCCGAAGTTTCTAAGCACCTCGTGGCCTCAAAGTGCCGTATGACAGGGGTTTTCGTGATGTAGTGTTGATGAGTTGGAGTGCACCTGTACCTGCTCTGTAAGGATCGACACCGGATACATCGTGCCGTGTCTCTCCATTTCCTTTGCCGAGGCACAATCTGCATTTCTTCTGTGGTTGAGGTAACAATTAAAACAGAGGCATCACGTATGTACAATAGGATCCAGTGTTTGCGTCCAAATAAGGCACAGAACGTGCAGGTTTTGCTGGCATCCGATTAGCTTGTTCATAAACAGTCACTTGTACCTTTTATTTTATGTGCATTTAGTTTAGTTCTAATGACTAAGCTTGGTTAAGTTAGCATCAGGTGTTTCGAGAAGGGGAAGTAGAAGAGTATTATTTTACTGCAATCGGAGTTGGGAAGGACACCTGCAAATTGTACTGTAGTTTCTGTCTCCTCGGTCCATGTCCTTGCTGACTCGATCCGGACGCTGCCTCTGCTTTGTCAGTGGAATAATACTTGTAAATTTGGAATAGAGGAATCCATAACATTGCGGAGGACGGGTTCGTGAGGGCATGTATGTTCTGAGTGCCGTGTTTGCACTAGTTTTCTTCGGATCGTACTTCTGTCCGGACATTGGTAGGTTTGCTTCAAATTGTGCCAATTTTTTGCAACAAGGTGGAGGCTGATTTGTCACCGATCTTTGTTAGATTTGACTTCATCTATTTCTATGGATATAATTTAGAAAGGATATTGACGTTTAGGTTTGATCGTAGTGCACATTTCATTAGTCTCATACAAACTATCATGTGCAACCACTGATGTGTCGATGCTAGATAATTTCTCTCAGTTACGCTGGTTATGGATACCTTCTCAGCTTATGCATTCTTTGATAGTACTGACTCTACTTTTCTGCTTTTTTGCCGATCTTGGATATCAGAGATATGTATTTGTAGAGTAGATCGATCTGGTGCGTGCTTTGGCGAGTTACGATTGAGTAAATCTGCCAATTCAAACAATGGGTTCCACGAGTAAGGTATCCGCAGGAGACGGTGGTGCCGTACTTGAAGATGTACCGCACCTTACTGACTGGCTTCCCGACCTGCCGGTAATCATCCCAAGTCGTGGAATGGGCTCTTACGAAACAGGGTTTGATGTTGAGCGACTTGGTGATATTTGCAGTCTTTTCGCACCGATCGGGCGTCGTTCTTTTCTGTGATGGATGTCTGTAATGTATATGTATTGCTATTACGGTATGTCAGAGAGCTTGAGGCCGTGGATGCATGCGGTTCACCTGGTGGTTGATTCCTTGTCGACACATTGGCTTTTGGCAATCTGATATGGTCTCCCAGGCTTTTGCACCTCTAGATGTGGCTTGAGGAGATGAGAACTTTATTCAGGAGGCTTTGAACGAAGTATGCACCTTTTATATGCATTTGGATATGTATACATGTATATATATGTTTGGCGTCAACTCACTTGTTTCTTCACCTCGTGGACAGACATACGAAAATCCATTGAAGCACAATCCAGCATACGCGGCCGTGAGGTGATCTCAATCATCAGTGGATCTCAAGTGATATGTATCATCAGACAATATTGCGCTCCTTAATTTGCACATTAGGAAATTTACAGGCTACTTCAAGCACATAAAGTTGCCCTACTCGGGAATTAAAGCTATTAATCAGTACATATTCTCGTCTGGGTTGCAGGCAGTATTTTATCGAGGACACAGATGTCGTTGCCAAAGATGTAAGCTCGGCCCCGAAACCTGGCAGCCTCACACTGTTTAGGAAAGTCGAACATGACTGACGTTTAGTTTGAACTTTTTCTTTGATGTTTTGGCTCTGTGTTACAGTCGTTTTTATGTTTATTGAACTATCAAACAGGAACATGAAAGCTTCGGTTTTCATGATAAGTATGATGAACTCAAGGGGGATCATGTATGCACTGGCAGGTGGTAGTAAATATCAACACTGCTGGGGATGGTGTTCATTTCAGACGTGCAGGACCTCGTGATAAGGTTCTTAATATCCATTACTCTTCTCTTGATTTTTAGGTAATTTGAATACATACCAAGCTAATTTACTGTCAAGAAGTGCCTTTTTAAGTGACTTCCACTTTTGACATTTCGTGACACTCTTTCCTTGTCCGCAGATATACTTCCAGTCGGAGGATGTGAAGGCATGCATTGTAACTTGTGGAGGATTATGCCCCGGAATCAATACTGTGATTCGTGAGATTGTCTGTGGTCTGTGGACGCAATATGGTGTGCGCGAAATCTTTGGTATTGATGTAAGTAACAAGCCATCCATCAAAAATGTCATTCTTTTATTGATCTCGAATGTTGCGTCACTACCTTTTCAGGGTTACGAGTACATATGATAACTGCGTCAAATTTAAACCTGGTTTCAACAATGCATAGTATAATAAGTCTTTAATAAGTGGAAAACGTAAAGCTTAACTCGAAATTACATTGCGCTCTCAGGGAGGATACAAAGGATTTTACTCTCGGAACACAATCTCTCTCAATCCTAAAGTTGTGAGTGATATTCATAAACGAGGAGGCACGTTTTTGAAATCTTCACGTGGTGGACACGACACCAAAAAAATTGTTGATTCTATTGAAGACCGTGAATTCAATCAGGTAACTCAATTCTTGTTGTTAGTAGTTTAAAATGGTCATAAAGGTTTAATCTCAATCGTCTTTCGAACTCGTTTTTCAGTGGACCAATGAGTGGAAAGAGCTTGGCACGAACAAGTTTAAGAACTAGTTTCAGCTCTTCTGCTATTTACATATCTCATCCTTTCTGGTTATTCTTTGCTCGGTGAGGGTGTGAATAATAAAAGTTTCTAAAGGAGATGGTATCTTGAGACTTTAAGGTAGGGTTCAAATTTAGTGCCAACCATGAAAGATTCACATTTCAGGGATCATTTTACTGAGACAGCTGATTTGCTTCAGGTTTATATTATTGGAGGTGATGGCACTCACAAAGGGGCTTCCGCTATCCACGAGGTATGTGCACGCTATGATCTTTAAACCCCTGATTCCTTGTGCTAAAGAAAACACCTTCCATCATGTTTTCTTCATTCCTGTAGAAATGCTTCCAGCTAAGTGTGGAATTCAGCACCACAGGCTCAGCCTGATCGTCATTAACATTCTGTGTGCTTACCAATATCGTGCATGTTTGACTTGGTTCGATTGCAGCAGTGATGCTTTCGAAATTTACGTGGAAATGTGATTGGTTTCACCTGTAGGAGTGCAAGAAGAGGGGTCTGAAGGTTGCGGTTGCGGGCATTCCCAAAACAATCGATAATGATCTCGATGTACGTTTTAGACACGGAAATTCAACAACACGATGGAATTCTCTGTTTTTCAATGGATTGAATTGTGTGGGTTTCTGATTGTAGGTTAAGCAACACAAGAGCTGAATGGAAAATATGGTGCACGTTTGGCAGGTCATAGACAAATCATTTGGTTTTGATACCGCAGTTGAAGAAGCACAGCGTGCAATTAATGCTGCGCACGTGGAAGCTGAGAGTGTTCATAATGGCATTGGATTGGTCAAGCTTATGGGACGATACAGTGGTATGAAATTTTGTTGAAGAAACGTCGGATTCTGTGAAATCATTTAGAATTAGATTCGTCTTGACAACCCCATTGCTCTTTCTGTCTATATTGGAGATGACGCCTTGAAATACTGAAATGCTAGTATCTGAGAAAAACTTTTTAATTGATGCAGGTTACATTGCTTTGTATGCCACTCTTGCAAGTCGTGATGTGGTAATTCTGTCTTTCTGATAAATTCTCAAACTACTTTAACTCCTTCGTGGAATGTACCTCAATGGGATGAAACAAGTGCAATTTATAAAGCAAGTAGTGGCAAACTCGCAAGCCTTTTTTCATCCATCAGGATTGGAGTTCATTAAAATTTGTGAATGCAGGACTTATGCTTGATTCCAGAAGTGCCGTTCTACTTACTCGGGCCAGGTGGACTGATCGAGTATGTTCACCATAGATTAAAAGAAAATGGTCACATGGTCATCGTGGTGGCTGAGGGTGCTGGACAAGAATTGATCGCTGAGAGCATGGGGTCTTTCAAAAATCTCAATGATGCATCTGGAAATAAATTACTTCTTGATGTCGGTTTATGGCTCTGTCAAAATCTGAAGGTGAGGGTCAGTTTTTAAAGTGATGTTTATTCAGTTTACCTTAGAAGTAAGCATTTTGTTGACACTTTTGAGCCAGTTCTCGAGTCTGACATCTATTCATGCTAGGGGTATATTCTTCTGGTTTTTATTCTACAGTTGCTTGCATCTCCTCATGGAACTAAATCCACTCTTCATCTCTTGACCTGAAATTGCAGGAACATTTTCTCAAGGAATTTAAGGAGCCGCTGAACTTGAAATACATAGGTGGCCATATGCCCAGTTGAAAACTTTTGGTTTTTTCTTTGCTGCTTGGTTCTCGTGCTTCTATATTCATGAAATTCCTTTTAGTCGTTTTTAGGCTTGAATATGAGTACTCACCACATGATTCTGCAGATCCAACGTACATGATTCGAGCTGTTCCAAGCAATGCTTCTGACAACGTGTACTGCACTTTGCTTGCTCATAGCGCCATCCATGGAGCTATGGCAGGGTATTGCGGTTTCACTGTTGGACCTGTTAACGTCAGACATTGCTATATCCCAATACCAGTAAGATCTTTAATAACACATACTATCTGCTGGGTCAGTTAAATAGTTTTTGTGATAAATTTCTGATTCATGTAGACGCGTTAGACATTATTCACAGGCAACAGTTTCAAGGTAATCCATACATTCCTATCCTGTTGGTTATTTGTAAGCTGCTCTTTACTTTTCTTTTGCTGTTGGAGTCTTATCCTACCACGTTTTGACAGCGAGTGGTGGCGAAGTCGCGACACGTAAACGTAGCTGATCGCATGTGGGCGCGGCTAATGTCATCAACCAACCAACCAAGCTTTTCTCAATACAACGAAATAATTATACAGAAGCGTCAAGAGGAAGCTTTGAGGGGAGGTGGTGCACCAACATCTGCAAACGGCACCACCACAATGGTAATTTGCCATAGTCAGGTTCATTCTTTGTGAAAAAATTAAAATTGAATCGCCGTTCTGAGGCGCAATTTGTATGTTCCACAACTGTTCTCGTAACAAGTTTAATCTCAATGTCTTCATACCTGTACATCCTCACACATTGCGTCAATAAATCCAAGTCGTCCTTAGGCTGTAATCCTGATTAATGTTTTTCCTCTTTCTCTCTCTGCACCAGAAAGCCAATGTTGATGAGCACTCGCACGAAGTTACAGCCGAGAAACCAACCGATGTAATTGAAACCGGCAACAGACAAGGATTTCCGAAGGATCAGACGGAGATTTCCACACAAACGACGCCTGCGGAGGCATAGCAGCTTCGTGATCGGAAAGCTCCTCGACTTTTCGCCACGACGTTCTTTCGTTTATAAGCGGAAATCCGCGCAATTTAGATCGTAGATAATCCACTTTCCTGCTAGAAAGTACTATCTTTCCTCCTTAACTTTCTTGTTGGTTCAAATAAGTGGGTCATGAGTAAATTGTAGTGATCACAAACTACACGAGAACCAGTTGATAGCGGCTGTGTAAACATCAAATTGGCATATGTGATTGGCAACTGCGTAGATTAGAAATTTTATATGAACTTATTTGAATTATTTTAAAGTTTGACATTTAATGTATGCAAAAACATGAAATTACTTCAAATTTAATATAGTTTTGTTCCTCTGGATCAATTAACACTAGAGTAGTATAAATGTTAAGGTTCTATTATCCTGCATGTTACAAGAAATTTAGCAAGGCATAGATGGTTGTTTTGTATACACCTCCCTTAATAAAACTTTGACGTCAATCCAACACCAACACGCTGTCACATAGTCTTTCATAATGCTAAAATGTCTTTATCTTCCAAAATACTAAATAAGAAAGATATAATTTATGCATGACATATTCGATGCACTAAACATGAGCACATACTTTCTTTTCCATAGCCAGGTTGACAGATGAAACTAATATACGAATTACAATTTCAGACGATTCATGACAAAGGATCAATTAGCCACCAATTTGTAACTATAAAATTAGAACTAATCAAGATCACAATGTCACCCTGAAAATCACCAAGCTGACCCCAGTAGTGATCAAGCTCCGACATCAACAATCTTGATGCGAGGTGCTACATTAATTGATCGGACATATCTCGATGCTACCTGAATAGTATACACCTATAAAATGATTGCCCAGCAATACCCTTCCTGAGCTTAAATCATAAAGACATATGAAGACAAAAGCATGCTATCAACCTGGATAATGTGTGTATCTCAATAATTATCAGTAATCAGGGGGTGCAATATGACCTACAATTGATGTCCTAAATACTAAGCATCGTGTGTGGGAATATGATCATCTGGTAGCACCAACAGCAACTTTAGGAAGTGACATCTCTTTTAGCTCCTCAATTAGCTTCCTCTCTTCTTCACTAAGTTTACTGGGAATCACGACTTGTACCCTTACCAACTGGTCGCCACGCATGTTGGGTTTTCCCATGAAGGGGACACCCCTTTTGGCCATCACTAAGGTGCTGCCAGGTTGAATTCCAGCTGGGATCTTCAGGTCCACTGTCCCATCAACTGTAGGTACTTTCACAGTGGTACCCAGTATTGCATCTATGTAGGAAACTTTAGCTGAGAAGAAAATATCATTACCGTTTCTCTTCAGCTCCGAGTCCGACTTCGCTTTGATGAAAACGTAAACGTCTCCTGGAGGACCACCCTTACGACCGGCATTACCCTCTGACCGCACTCGCAATCTGCTACCATCATCAACACCAGCTGGAATCTTCAACTTGATCTTTTTGTTCTTAATCTTTACTCTGCCATCTCCCCGACAGGTTGTACATGGCGATGAAGTCTCCCCCGTGCCCTCACATGACTCGCAAGTGGTCACCTGATACATCGATCGAACCCAGTCATAAACATTATTTAACAAAATAAATGTCAATAGGAAGAAACAACACAAATGAAATTATTGAAAAGTGATTAATAACCTGGAACACTACATTTCGTGCAACTTCTTGAATGCCTAAAACTGATAGCTTTTACAGCGCGTTTTGTTACAAAAACAGCAAGTAGAGGCAAAAAATCTGCGTTAATGTCTAGTCATGTTTTACCCCATTTACAACTCTCGTTTGATAGGTCTCATTGTCTAAAGCCCTAAGTGGCTTACCTGCTGAAACATTCCTAGAGGAGTTTGGGCGGTTGTTAACACTTGGCCTTGACCGTTACAAGCCTTGCATCTGCGAGGAGTAGTTCCGGGTTTCGCTCCATTGCCATTGCATGTTTTACATTCCTCAAACCGAGTAATTTTAATATCCTTTTCCACTCCAAAAATTGCTTCCTTGAATTCCAAAGTTAAATCGTAGCGTACATCGTCTCCTTGTGTGGCCCTGCTGCGAGGAGCTCCGCCCATGCCTCCCATGCCTCCCATTCCTCCCATGCCCCCAAAGAGGGATTCGAAAAGATCAAAGGCGCTACCATAATCCTGCGATAGAAAAAAATGGTTTAAGACGAATTCCAACACGTAGCATCAAACCATTCTAAAGAATTTTGAGCTACTAGAATTATTATTGATAAAACCAAACAGTAAAAGGCAGCGAGGCTCACCCCTGCCCCCGCTCCTTGGCCCGAAAGACCAGCTTCACCAAAACGGTCGTAAATTGATCTTTTTTCATCATCAGATAACACCTGCAAAAAGAGGGAAGGCTCAGGACAGGACTCCAGTACATTAGCTCATGACATTCTTTGCACTCACGTACCCATGCCAACCTACACTATGAAGCCTGCACCATAGATTATTCATAAATGAACAGATAAAAACTATCTATAGAAAGATAGAATCAAATAAAAGAATTCAAAAAATCAGTTTGAACTGCTAGTAACATGGTCAACACATACACAAGTTGCAAGCATCCTTCACGCCTACAGAGGGTTTCATAGAGAACTACCTCGTATGCATTACTGATGTCCTTAAATTTTTGTTCTGCACCAGCATCTCTGCGATTACACGACATTGCGATATAAGTAAATGATTTCATCCACTATACACCTCCAAACCCAAAAAAAAAAAAAAAAAAAAAAAAAAACTTAAATTAAATTAAATTAAAACATTAAAAGCAAACCAAGATGTTAAAAGAACGCCGCAGCTGCCCAAGGATAAACCTCGTCACTTACTTGTTAACATCAGGATGATATTGTCGTGCAAGTTTACGATAAGCTGCGACCATCCAGCATCACAGGCAATACGTCAACGTAAGGATTAAACGTACAGTATCTTGACCTGAATTCAGATTTAAAAAGCCACCAGAAAAACATTGGACTTCGAGAAAGCTTGTGTACACGAACTTCGATGTGCCTGCCCATAGTAACGTGTGGTGTGTGCCAAAATTGAATACAATGACTAGGGATAAAATCTACACAATGATATTTTACCCTGCCTACATTGACGTGGATAATTTAGACAACTTTTTCAACAATGCTAGGCGACACAATTGGGGCCGAACAGTAATTGTAAAAAGCGCTCAGAGAAGCCCTGAGCAGCGCTGGATGTGCATCGAAACATTGCCACACTGAATTTGCATCTTGGGTTGCGTACAGTAGACGGAACAAATGGTCATGATCATCATGGCGTGAACCTAACTATCGCTGTTTAGATGAACTCATTAGCACCAAACTTCTAACCACATGCAAAGAAACTTACCACTTTTAATTTCAGATTTGCTAGCATCTCTTCCTACTCCAAGCCTCGCATAGTAGTCCTGAAAAGTATTTAGCAAATGGCGTCATGAAAAAGCTCCAGCATTGTGATGTATTTTTATGTCAACGACATTATGAGTTAATTGAATGCTACTCTCACTGGATACACTACGAGCCCGCTTTTCTATGAGTTGTCACTCCACTAGATACGAGAGCATTCTCAATTCTAAATCAAGTGTACACAACATTTTAAAACTTATTCCAGTTCAGCAAATTTTCAAAGAATAGAATACACATGTTATCCTTAATTAAGTGAATATAAGCTGAAGGTTTTCGCATCACTCATATTGACCATCATAAAGTCACATCACCGTCACAATTTAAAATCCTGAGAAGCACCTTCAAGGGGTTACAGTGAAAAATATGTGAACCATCTTCCTAAAATCATGAGAACGTTAACAACGTGCAGACTCGGTTAAAAATCTCACGGCTTCAGCGTGAACTACAAAATTTGAATCCCTTCGCCGCTGATTTCTTTTCACTGGGCGAGCGACGAAAGAGTGAAGTGTGTCTGAGGCGAAAAATGTACCAGACGAGTATCCATAAACCAAGTCATGGCCGCTCCTGCAGTTCAAAAAAAAATTCCAAAACCAAACGTATCTCCATCAGCTTCATGCTACCGCCTGGAAGACTAAGCTATGCCAATCCTTCACAGTTAGTATAACCTTGCGTGCAATATGCAGACAATACAATGCAACCCAAAGTAATACAGAACCCGACGCAAGACCTGCAAGTTGGGGTGGAGTCGATGTGGGAGGCAGAGCGCAAATGGCACGAGGGTTGTTGCGTTGCCAATCTCTCCGACTGCCGCACACCAACAACCGTTTGCGCCGCGGCGCCCACAACAGTCGCCATGGAGCTTCGCCCACACTCTACCCCACCAAAAGCCTCACCCAAACCCCTCAAAACTCGACACCCCACAGTCTGAAATTGCAGCTCCGTAACCCAATTTTCCTCGGCGACAAATTGCAACAGCGCCCAGCGTCGCAAGTGCACTTCGCCTCCGCGCAACTCCACGCCTAAACCCCGTCGCTGTAAACCCCGAAGGGAGAGGCCTAAATCCTGTGGCTCAGGATGGATGTGGATGAACTTTGAGGTTTTTTTAAATGGATGAAGACGGATGATTGGGGACATCATCCTGTGGATGAGCACGAATGTGGAACTGCCGCTTGGAGGGGGGCTCTGAGGACTTGTGGGCCAGCTATGGCGATGGCTTGGTCATGGCCATGGCGCGCGCTTGCACGCGGGCCTTCTCGTGTGGAGCCTTCTTGCTGCGTGTGGGTGGCGCAGCGGAGCGTCTACAAACGTCACGGAGCGTGAAGAGGCAAAAGGATTTTGTGGAATTGCTTTCTAAGTGGTGGGTTGTGTGGGAAGAAGGGAGAGGGGCCTGGAGGTTTAGGGCTTTGTAGCAAGGGAGCGAGGTGAGTGATGGGAGGTCATGGCGACAGCTCGTTGCACAGCTCGACCATGGACGCCGTCGCCGGTGCTGTGGCCGGTGGCATTGCGAGAACCGTCGTGTCCCCCTTGGACGTCATTAAGATTCGGTTCCAGGTCTTTCCCCCTGTGCCCTGTTTTGGGTTTTGATTACTGTATTGAAGGAGGCGCGAGATTGTTACTAACCATCCGGGCTGATTTCCTGTACCGAGAGAAGACCCCTATTGATGTTTAACTCGAGGTTTTTAAGTTGTTTGCGTGGATGATATTAGCCCAATTAGTCGCTTGGAATTACTTCTTGTGTATTATGATTAGTGTATTGCAATACAATCTCATGCCGTATTAGTTGGAAGTCTTGGCCATAGAAATTATGATACCATTCTAGAGCGGACGCTATGTGGATGTTACCTTGTGCAATCCTCTACCCATGAAAAAATATCTTCAACCCGTATGCTTCAGCTTTGTGAGTCTGCAGGGATTTCTGGAATATTCACTTGTGGGCTTTACTTTGCAAGCAACTTCTTACAATTTTTGCATGTAACTATATCTAGATTGAGTTTAGCTTCGATTGCACTGGTGAACTATTCGTTCCGGTTGTAGCCCTTACACGGATGACTAGCATAAGTACAAGTTCAATTAGTTATACATGAGTAGAGAACCGCACTTCATATATTTTTTGGAGTGTACAGGATTTGAGTATGCATTAACTCTAGGATTATCTGTTTTGACTGATTGGTTTTTGTCTACAATTGGAGGATTCTCCATGTGGTGATCAACTAGTTGAACATAGACTCAGAGACAGTTTGATTTGCTGCAATACAGATCCAACTGGAGCCGACAAGTTCAAGGAATATTTTTTCTAAAGGGGGAGCCTCCGCAAGCGTGATGTCGAAATACACCGGCGTAATGCAAGCTGCTCATGTTATTGTGCGAGAGGAAGGAGTTCGGGGTCTTTGGCGAGGGAACATTCCAGCACTTCTGTTGCAGATGCCGTATACTGCTATTCAGTTTGTTGTGAAGTCGAACGCTGATTCTCTGGTCGCAGGTTCCCCACAGGCAGGTTTAATCACTTCTCCTTCTTTTTCTCTTTGAAAGAGCTTTGAAAATTCTTGTCAGAGTATCCTAATGGCTTGGCAGTGCCTCGAATTCCTTTTGCACGCATTCGCGTCGTCCCTCAGGTATCCATGTAAAGCTTCGGATAGTGGTAAGTAGAGATACAATTAAATTGGTTGTTGTCTACTTCAAGAAGCAGTTGTTTGGCTTGTTGCACAGTCTGCATTGTTCTTACTGACATGCTAACATTTTTGTGGGAGCAGCTCGTCACAAAGGGTTGATGTCCTTCCTAGGAGGGTCCTTGGCAGGAACTGCTGCCACCATTGGGTCCTACCCTTTTGACCTTCTTCGCACAGTTCTTGCAAGTCAAGGAGAGCCGAAGGTATCAATTTTAAATTTTACTGCTTCTTTACTACCAATGCAGGGTTGTATTTTCGTGGGTTCCATTATAGATGGTATTTTGAAAAACATTGTTTTCCTTGCCAATTAAACCGGAAATTTTTGGTATTTTTCGAACTAGTTCTTTGATAATATGCCGAAGAGTACTCGGGAGCTGTCGTGGCGTACTAAAATCGTTGTGTGAAATCGATTCGATTTTGTAATATTGTGGGAGTATAATATTGACTTAAGTTCTATGTGAACAGGTCTATCCAAACATGCGATCAGTCATGGTCGATATCTACAAACGGAAAGGAGTGACTGGTTTTTATGCCGGCCTCACACCTACGCTCATGGAAATTGTACCATATGCTGGCCTTCAATTTGGTTTTTACGACTCTCTCAGGCGTTGGGCTCTTGTGAGTAATCTTAATGTTGCGAAGGCAGTGCTAGTTTTTTAAATAACGTTTGCAGTGAACTTCTTTTGTTGCATTTTATATCGTTTTATACAGGCTTCCGGTCAGTGCGTTCATTGTCGTCCGCATCTTACTTGACCTAGTCCCCCTTGTATTCATTTAATGTGCATACCATAGTATGCCTGTTGTTTGTACATTTAGCATGGACTAAATGATGTCAACCTTGGCGTAACTTGTGAGTGGCAGACTTTAAATCCCTTGAAGGAAGATGGTGAGCACACACCTTTGTCTTCCACGCAGAATTTCTGGTGCGGATTCGGAGCTGGATTGTTTGCAAAGTTGTGTTGTCATCCACTTGATGTTATCAAGAAACGATACCAGGTAAGCATTTTGTATCTTTGAAATTGAATATAGGGCACCAACCAATTCATGCTCTTTCTAGATATTCAGGTCTAGTATCTTTTGTTCGAGTATCTTTGTTCAGTTTCTTCTTGAAGCTGGGATCATTGATTGATTGCCTTATTCCTGACTGGGCTAAAGTTCAAAGTTTTTGATGAAATTAAAGCTAGCACGTTGAAACGTTTAGATGAGGATGGCAATGAATGATTATGAAATTTAAAGCACTTCAGCTCCTCGAAAACAACGATCGTAATATGCGAAGTCTGGGTTGTGTGGATTTGGAGTTAGATTGTCTCTTTAACTTGAAATGCTATTGCGATCGATGTTCTTCTATAGGTAGAAGGACTAATGCGGGACATACGGTATGGAGCTAGAATCGAAGAGAAAGCATATAAGGGAGTTGGAGATGCGATAAGGAGAATATTAGCGGAGGAAGGGTTGAAGGGCCTTTATAAAGGCACTTTGCCCTCAATTGTAAAAGCAGCACCTAATTCAGCCCTTACATTCTACGTTTACGAATCTACTAAGCATTGGTTAACGTCTCGGTCGTGATATTGCATACATTTTCTTTCATTGCAATAAAACTTAGTCTCGAAGCTGTCAGTTCTCACTGCAGCCATTCTTTGACACAATTCTCACGTTATATCCTCCAGATAAGAGTACGTGTACATCATGGTTGGTTTTTAATTGCAAGATTTTTGGCTTTGTGCAAAGTTGTTGATTCTGCATGCCAGCCCAATTGCATCCGTCAAAACTTTATTGTAGCTTCCTGGGTCATTTTGGAGTCGGTATCATGAGGTAAAAAATTTATCAATTTACATGATGGGCTGATAAGTCTTTGAATTGTTTTCATAATTGCTTCAGCGCATTGTCCAAAACAGAATATCCTTTTTACCCATCACTAACATGAACATAATCGCGAAGGAATCTTCAAGGCTACTGTCGGCATTCATATATTGGTTCCAAAAATAGCTTCAGTCCATGCGATATTCGCTGAAACGTGGATATTGGTACCTTCCTTCTTTAACTCCACACTGATGAAAGCACATATGTCTCCTGGGGGATCACCCCAACGTCCAGCATTGCCTTGCAGACCACTCTTGATTTTCGCATTATGTTTTTTAAACAGTGCAAAATAAATTCATTTCTTCAGTTTCTTGTTTTGCATGGGCTGTTACCCAGGACATAAATTTTCCACGTGGAGGGCCACATCATATCTATGACCATGTGTATTGTGTCCCTGATTAGGATTGAGGATGTCTCTGTGTTTTTGAGGCCATAGCTTCGGCTTTTGCTTCCCCTGTAATTGTTGCCCCTCCTCCTCGCACTGCCCCAGGTGCTCTCCACTTCGGGGCGCTTGGCGTTGCCCTCGCCCGCAGCCATGGCGGACGTTCAACATGAGGAGTCTGTTTCGGAGATCAAAGAGGATCTCGGCGGAGAGGTAGCGTTTCCTCCCGCGAGGAGTTACACGCTTGCTTTTGGCATTGGGGTTGTTTTTAGCGTTGGATCATTGGTTGAGAGAGATTTCGCGGGGAGAGAGGAGAGGCGAAGTGAAGAGAGTGAGAGAGCTGGTGATGTGAGGTTGAGTGAGCTTATTGGGGAAAAGGTTTGTGAGATCTAATGAATTTAGGGTTTCGGATGAGCAGATTGGGGCGTTCGATCCCACCAAGAAAAAGAAAAAGAAGAAAGTACGCATTCAAGAAGACGAGGAGTCCGAGCCTGTGAAGGAAGTCATCCCTGAAGGAGGTGTGGATTCTGCTTTTGTTGGTCTCAAGAAGAAGAAGAAGAAACCAGTAAGTTCTGTGAGCATTGGTATTAATGGGTGTTTGTGAGTGCGTGAGCTGAAATTTCATTCCCTCGGAGAATTATTCTTACACTGTCGTAGAGTCCCCTTTCGGACACCGACGCTCTCGTCTGATTGTGCGGTTTGGAATGGTTGATATGGTGTCTAACGAGAAGTGTCTGAATTTCATTGACTTAAAACAATTGCTGTGATTAGGTCGAAGGCGAAGCTTTGGAGGACTATAATGACGGTGGTGAAAATGAAGCTAATGGTTGGTGTTCACTCTATTCGCTGATATTATGTAGGGGTTAATTTCGACACTACACATGCGGAATATTATCTCACGGGGAGTATAAAGAAAGGACTGGCTAGAGGTTTAGAGTGTATTTAGTTTCAGAGGTTGGGATATTTCATATTGAAACATAGAAAACATACTCCACACAAGTAAGTTAGGACCAGCAAGGTTGCACTATAACAAATAGAGTGTGGTATGAGATAATTCTTCCCATGCCAACCCTTTCCTTATATACTAGTACCAAGGTACCAAGTGCTACAATCCATATGGGATATCTCCTAGGACCAGCCCTCCCCTTGTACTCTAATGCACTATAGACCAGCACCCTACCTTATGGGATATCCTTAACAACACTTGTACTCTATTGACCATTAGCAACTACTTAAAGAGTTCTTTTCTCAACACTCCCACTTTGCTATTGGTCAATTAGCTCTCAATCCTAATGCCTGATTCAACTTGTTGTGTCCTTCTCTAACTAAGGCTTTTGTCAACAAATCAGCCAACATGTCTTTGGTTTCACAATACATCATATCAATAACCTCCATCTCTATCTTCTCTCTTATGAAATGATGCTGAATATCAATGTACTTAGTTCTTGCATGATGCTTTGGATTCTTTCCAAAAGCAAGACATCCTTGATTGTCACACCTCAATGGAGTAGCCTCCAATTGCACAAGTCCAATATCTTCCAATAACAACCTCAATCAAATTGCCTCCATTGCTTTATGACTTGCTGCCAAATACTCCGCCCCTATTGTGGACCTTGCAATATTTGGTTGTCTCTTGCTATTCGAAGATATGGCTCCCACTCAAACAAAGAATACATAGCCCATTGTTGACCTTCAATCGTTTGCATCTCTCTTGGTTCTAAGCACCCACTTACATCCAATTGTTGTGGAAAGATGTGGTTCTTTCACCATTCACCTTGTGGTCTTCTCTCACGTGTTGGATATCTTCTTTCATGCAAAGAAGATGAGCCTTCTTGCACCTCTTGCTGCCTTGTATGACTCATGGAGTGCTTTCTCTTACTCATTTGTTGATATTCTTCATCTTCATTCTCTTCATTGTCCTTGTTGTATCTTGCTGGAATTGAAGTCTTCATAGTATTGGGCTCTTCTATCATGGCAACTTCCTCTCCTTCTTCACTTTGAGAATACACTTCTTCATCTTCTTGTTTGTTTGCTGGAATTGAAGATGTGGCCACAAACACACCACTACTCCCACTTGGACACATCTCCCACTTTTCACTACCACTCATAGATGGTGTCCTCATGGATCCACAAACATCCGAATGCACAAGCTCCAGCAATTGATTTGCTCTTGTTGAAACTCCTCTAGGAAATGGTGTCCTATGTTGTTTGCCTTGAATGCATCCCTCACAAGCAAGATTCATGGTAGAATGGCCAAGGTCTATGCCATTTACCTTGGATTGAAGCCCCTTCATGCTTTTGGCATTCAAATGCCCAAGTCTTTGATGCCAAATGCCCATCTTCTCTTCATTTGATGGAAATTCAGCAAAGGCAGCAACCTCCACTCCATTGATCCTCTTGCAATTGATAATATAGAGATTGCCATTCCTAGTCCCTTTTGCTACTTCTTTGCCTTCCATGGTTCTCACAAAACATCCATTCATGTTAAATTGCACTTTGTACCCATGAGTTATAAGTTTACTCACCGAAAGGAGGTTCTTCTTCATCTTTGGCACATGCAACACATCCTTGAGAGTGATTCTCTTGCTTATGCCCTTCACCACCACCTCCACTACAATGGTGCCTATTCCAATGGCTTGTACCATACAATTATCACCTAACCAAACCTTGGTTGCTGGAATTGGTTGATAAGTATTAAATGAACACTTGTATGGAGTCATGTGTTTGGTACATCCGGAATCCACTATCCATTTGCTCATATCAAACATGGAAGGAGTTTGTTTTGCCATGAATGCAAAGTCTTCACCTCCATGGTCATGAAAAGCATTGTTGGCATTCTCTCTTTCTCCTCTCTTTGCCTTGAAACAATTTCTAGCAAAATGGCCTGGTTTTCCACAAATGTAACAAGTTTTAGGAGGATAACGTTGAAAAGGGGCACTTGCCTTACTTGGTCTTGTAAATAGTGCTGATTGCTCCCCAATAGACTCCTTTTGCTTTCTTTTGGTCACTTCATGGGCTAGTCTTGCCGTGACATAGTCCAAAGTGAGGTCTTTCCTTGAAATGGACTCCAATGCCACAATGAGGGAGGAATAGGAGTCCGGAAGGCTTGAGAGCAATGTCATCACAACATCTTCTTCAAGTAAAGGCTTGTCAACAACAGCAAGTTGGTTTGCAAGTGCCTTTACCTTATTTACATGAGCCATGAGATCTTCACCTTCTTCCATCTTCACGGTGAAGAACTTTTGCCTTGACCATAGCACATTGGAAAGATTCCTACTCTCATAGACATTGCAAAGAGTCTTCCATGCATCTGCTGCTTTTTTGCAAGAAATGACATGAGCAAAGTTGGTTTCATCTAAGTTGGTGGCAATTATGCCAAAAGCCTTCTTTTCTCGTCTTTTGAAGTCCTTTTGCTCCTTCATGCTTGCCTCTAATCCAGGTGCCTCTTCCTCCTCACATACTATCTCCCAAAGATCCAATGACGCCAAAAGTAGCTCCATTTTGGCCTTCCAGTGGTGAAAGTTGTCACCTCTAAACTTTTTTACCATTCTTAAGCTATTACTCTCAAAAGATGCCATCTCAAGCTACAAGTAGGTCCAAAAATCTCTTGATTTGGAGTTGTAATGCAAAAGATATGACTACTCAAAGATTGCTGAACTACAAACTCAGAATTCGCTGTTTTGCAACTTTTTGCATACTTTGAGTCCAAATCACGTCTAAATGGTGGGAAATGCTATGTCATGTAATTCTATGGCTTTCAAACATCTCCCTCACATCACCTCACTCAAAATGACTCAATTTCTCATAAAACTCTCAAATACTAGTGTTACTTCAGCAAAGACACTATCAAGGTCTTGCACTAACCTCATACACTCACAAATCCAGGAGTAATGACTTCAACAAAACACTAGTAATACTATACCATAAGATCTCAACCACCAAACAAGCAACAAAGAAAATAAAATACAAGAACAACTTACTTGGTAAGAGAATGTGGGCCCATAACCTATTGAAACATAGAAAACATACTCCACACAAGTAAGTTAGGACCAATAAGGTTGCACTATAACAAATAGAGTGTGGTATGAGATAATTCTTCCCATGCCAACCCTTTCCTTATATACTAGTACCAAGGTACCAAGTGCTACAATCCATATGGGATATCTCCTAGGACCAGCCCTCCCCTTGTACTCTAATGCACTATAGACCAGCACCCTACCTTATGGGATATCCTTAACAACACTTGTACTCTATTGACCATTAGCAACTACTTAAAGAGTTCTTTTCTCAACATTTCAGTCGGAAGGCGTCTCTTTCAGTGCAGCGGTTATCATTCAAACCCAACTCTTGAAGAATCTGAAACCTAATGCAGATCTTGGTGAGGGTGATGATGACGAGCCTGCTGAAGGCATCGAACTGGGAGTTGCCGTTTATCCTTGGGAAGGCTCGGACCGAGATTATGCCTACGAAGAAGTAAGGATTTGAACGCCACTAAATGTAGTATTTTAATTGTGCTTGTTATTTGACTTTTTCTTTAATTGGTTGCTCCCTAGTAGTTCAATTGATTTTCCACGCAATTTTTCTGATGCTATACCAATGACCTCACTCTCCGATCTACAAACAATTATCCGTACACGCGTGTGAATTATTTTGTGGGAGCCTGTGTAGCTTCTAGGTCGAGTATTCAATATTCTGAGAGAAAATAATCCAGAATTGTCTACGGAGAGGAGGCGTACCATTATGAGGCCTCCTCAGGTTCTCCGAGAAGGAACTAAAAAGACTGTCTTTGTCAACTTTATGGACCTTTGCAAGACGTATATACTTTCATCTCCTGAGACTGTTCTGCATTGTTTTGTTTTGTTTCTGTGATACTCGTATAGTGAGTATTGTATTTTCATTTAAATATGTAGAGTGAGATTCCCGCAATTTCAGTTTCATTTATTTGTGGAGGTTTTCTTCGTAAAACTCAAAACTTTGACAGTTAGTTTGATATATGCATTTTTATTCATTTTGCAGTATGCATCGGCAACCAGAGCACGTTATGGCTTTCTTGTTGGCTGAGTTGGGGACAAGCGGGTCACTTGATGGACAGCAGCGTTTGGTTGTCAAAGGTCGATTTGCTCCCAAGGTGTTTGAGGGTATTCTGAGGCGTTACGTCAGTAAGGCTCTTCACTTTTGTATTCTTCATGTGTGGTACTAAAACAATATTTGAGCAGTTGCAAGCTGATATCGCTTCGCGCACGGACTTCTACACCCCATCATATTGAGTCTAAGTGAGGGATTATTTTTCTGTTCCACACAATATGCTAGAAAGGGATGAAAGACTTTATCTTACATGTACTTCATTATGTTGCAGATGAGTATGTTATGTGCAATGGTTGCAAGAGTCCAGACACTATCCTTTCCAAGGAGAATCGGCTGTTCTTTCTTCGTTGTGAACAGGTTAGCAATTATCTATTTGCGTCTGTGTGGTTCTTTTGGTTTCAGTTTCAGTGGTTCTCTGCTCTTGCAGTTGACCAGCTTGGCAGGACCTTTTTACAAATTGGTTATTTGCATCTTCGAAGAACGACGTCAGTCTTGTTTCATGGTGGTTGTGTTGTGCTGACGTAGTCTCTTGGTTTTTGTACGTTGACAGTGTGGATGTTCGCGTTCAGTTGCACCCATCAAAGCTGGTTTCGTTGCCAGGGTTGGACGCCGTAAGACAACGACTTAGTGGGCTTGTTCTAGATATTAGTAAAATGACATTTCGAGTGTATGTTATGAACGTTTGCTCTGACCACCTGTGTCCGACTGGTTATAATATTTGCAGAGAGTGTCCTGAACGAATCAGAAATCGAAGCTTCATTTTATGTTTCTTCAGGGTTATGGTTTTCCTCCTATTGGGATGTTCCTTCAAGTGAATATTTTCTTCTTTAGCAGCATTGCAGTGTAAAAGTTCATGAGACTTACTAGTTGTCATTTGACGTCATAAAACAAGTTAGATTTGGTTATCCAAATTCAATTCTTTTACTCAGATAAAATGAGGGTTTTACTTGCGCAGATTTGTTCTATGGTAATTAATGACCTAAGTATAACGCCTTTCAAAGATCAATCATTATTGAAAGATAAATGAGATAAATTTTGGACTAGTAAAAGCAGTTTCAAGAACATCACACAATTTAGTTATGATTAAAAACAAATAAAACTAAATGGCAAACCATCCTATGATACATATGTCTATTCGACCAAAAAAATGACTTCTTTAAGTTGTATGTCGATATATCTTTAAGATATCCAAACTCATCCTTTGTTGGACTAACTTTATCTGCTCCTCTCAAACATCTCTTTTTATTGCAAGATTTGATTCCACATTTGTTGGTTGTATGTCCAAATCTATGTAGGTTCTTAATGGTCCTTGTCTTTAATAGTTTTTTACTGTTATTTTTTATTTTATTTTAATCTACTTTACAAATTTTTATAGACTTCCTTAATTTGTTGACTTAAACGTTAAACAAAAAATTAAATAACCTCATAAAAATTTAATATTAATATTAATATTTCTTTCTATAACTGGGAGGAAAAAAAAAAAATAATTCAAACTTAGAGTTGCAAAAAATATATATAGAATTACTATCTATTGGTTTTTAACCTATTTCAAAAGGTATCTTTAAAAAAATACATTGATCATTTCTTTTGACAATAATATCAAACTTGAACACCTTTCTATTTCAAACATTGTGAAAGATGTAAAGATAGCATTTGCAATGCTTTGTCTACTAATTCTACTTTTAATTTATATCTCCATGATATATCTAGTAGAAGTTTTTTTAAACTAAGAGAATACGTAACCAAAAAAAAAAATTAAGAGCAAAAACAACAAAATTAGAACTTAAAAATTGAAGTGATGAAAAAAATATTCCTTATTTTGTTAATATTGTTGTTATTTATGTTTTTGTAAAACAATCCCTCTAACTATAAACAAACACAATCAAATACACAATTAGATTAGAATTTCTATATTAGTAATTCTCTTAATGTACATAAAAATATAATTATAATATTAGATTAGTTTGTTTATATTATAACTTTAAATTAACATGGATCTAAAAATTATTCTAAAAATTATATGGTGTAAAAATATAAAATTCTAATCCTAAAATATTAATAATTTTTTATTCTTATTAGTTTTATATATCTCAAATGTATAATATTCACTATGCTCTTTCTTTTGATATGCCTTTTGGACATACATCACTACAAAAGAGATAATATATGTCCAAAAACATATTCTTCTCTTTAACTTTTAAAATTTCAAAGCTTACTTTTAGAATGTTTTAAATCTTGTAGTTGCTATTGTTTTTATATTTGACCAATCCTTGTCCTCTATTTAACTTTTATACAACTTACTCCCAACATTTTAATTTCTTGTTTTTTTCTTTAAAATGCTTCTATAACTTTTAGACTCAATAGTAGGCTATTACAAGTTCTTTTAATTTTTTTGCCAATGTCAAAAAGTTTATAAGGCAAATTTTCTTGGCCACAAAAATGAGAAATAAACAACTTTATACTTGTTTCTTCATTGAGTTCTTGAATATTTATTTTACAAATTTCTTCACTATATTGCTCTATTGCTTTTAAATATCAAGTTGTTAGAATAAATGTACTACCATTGCTAGTAAATATATTATCCATAGGCACAATATCTTTAATTCGAATTTGATTCTTCACATTGTCAAAAACCAAGATGGTTTTGTTCTTCATCAAAAATAATTCCAACATTTTTTGAGCTTTTTGAATATCATTTGGTTTTTATTAGACTTTAAATTGTTCTAAAATATTGTAAGAAATTATATAGCTATCACCACCACTTTTAATGCATTCAAAAAGATATGAGATATTATATATGTCTTTTGCATCAATTAATATAGCCTTTGCTATTATAGTCTTACCTATTCAACCTATTCCAACAACATATAATGCTTTCATCTTATTTGCACATTGTTGTCTTATTTGTAATAAATATTGTGTTATATCATATATTTCTTTCCTACTTAATTTACCTTTTAATTAAAAAATTTACGTATAAATCAAATAAATGATGCATATACTACATTTTAACCTAGTCTTACTAACTTAAGTTTATATTAAGGCATCTAAACATCTTTATAGCATAGAAGATTGTAAAAATATAAAATAAAATCAATACAAATAATTCAATACAAGCTCACTTTACTTTACTAATATAAATTTTACTAATTGCAATCTATCATGTATTTTTTAAAGTTCTATATTTTGATGATAATTATTTTTGATGCTACAAAATATAGTGCATTTGCCACACTACTTCCAACTATATATATATATATATATATATATTTTTAGTGAGCTCAATCTTCCACAAATATTTGCAAACTTTAGCCAATGCAAAAGATACAACCTCCATCATTCTTTGATAAGCTCAACAAAGTCATCACAGTTTGAAGGAAAGTTTGATCTTTCACCTATTTCAATTCTTTCTAATAACTTTTCTACTATAACATCATAAAATGGATTGTTTTTTGAAAGAATCTTAAAAACATATCATTCCAAATGAACTAACAATCAGCTTTAAAAAGGACATATTGGCATTTTTTGAAATCTCTTTTTCAATACCTTTAGAGCCATATATTTAAGACTACAATAAATGTAATTATTCTCTATGGCTTTTTGAGTTCTTACAACTTTAAACTTAGACATTCCAAAGTCAGTCACTCTCACAATAGTATGTCAAACGATTTTATTTATAATCTTTGACTCCATAATAATAACTAAAATATTCTCAAGCTTTAGATTACAATGTACATGTCATGCAAGTAACACAAGATACTTATTTTTCTTCTTCCAACATATTACTCAAATTGTCTTTGCATCAATTCCATTCCTATATACAAGTAAACTTTCTTTTTCTTTTATTATACATGATTCAACACTTCTATTGGCACTACCTTTAACACCATAAATCATGCAGGCGCTCGAATTTGCTCCAGGTTTGACTTAAGTTCATTTCTACCTGCAGAAACTCTTTAAAGCGAGGAGGAGAGTGCAGACCGCTCGTGATCCAGGACTTGCTCGGTTATGACTTGCTTGGTGAATTGCATCCAGTGTTCGACGGCGAAGAGAGGGGTTCATGTGGACGTTAGAAAGTCTGTTTTCATTCCGAAAGTTACTCACCCATCTGCGGCATTCATGTCGTAGTGACAACGCGTGTAATGTAATATGCATCAGAGTTGAGTGAGTTGAGGGTATCAGAGCTAAGAAACTCCCTCGTTGAAAAAGCGGTGCACAACGCTACTGTGACAGCAGATTATGTGCGACATCATGGCCAGGTGTCTGTTCACGATGTCGATGTAGGGATTTGCAAGCCATAGAATTGCAGATCCTTGAACAAGTTTGTTGATGACCATCACGATGAACACCACCTTTCTTGCTCCGGTTTCTTTCTCCAGGATAAACACCTACACATCGACAACCTGCAGCATCCAACAAACCAAGTCATCCTGTCATCAGTTCCGTGTCCATGAGTTCTGCAGGACCAGGACTAGTTCCTGACAAAAGGTGAAGCTCTTTACCGGAACAGTTCACTAGCAGACAGAATTCATTCCTGTAGTTTGGCAACTTGTGTGGGAGGAAACCCCGCTTACTCGCTCAGAATACGAGGGAAATTCTCGCATACAGACGATGGCAAGCTCAGCGAAAGCGTCGGCGTCTGCATCAACTTAAAGCCTCAGTTTTTCCTACATGACCTCACATAGCTCACCGTGGTTATGGAACGAACCATTCTTAAGAGGCTCGACTGCTAGACGTCCTTCGATCATTTGATAGTAGCTCCAAAGTTTGGTCCACTGACACCCGACTTGCAAAGCGCGCGTAGACTATTCTAGCAACAGCACCTTCATTGCGGCAAAAGCAAAGCTTATGATCATCGCCTAAACAAGAGAAACTCGCACTCAGACTGTCACGAGCCTGATCATGTTATATCTGCGGTTAGTCACATTGGGTCGCATTGTTGGTATTCCTGGATTATATTGCGTTGAATGTTTGAAACGATTCAGTGTTGGTTAATTATCGGAGCAACTGACAAGCGCTTGGCAATCCATTAGGCATTCATAGCAGATATGAAACGCTGCTTCAATTCTGTCGCATCGTCCCCTTCACTTTGTTATTATTAAGACTATTCGTCTAGCTCCGCAACAATTCGCGTTCGTTCAATTTCAAATTGCCCCTCGGGTATCATCATTTACAAGGCATCTCGTTCTCCGGGTTCAAATTACTAGAAATTCAAAATTTCAGAACCATTACCTATTTAATACGTAGTTGTTTGTATTCTTCATAGTATTTTTTTCTCAGTCCAAATATGTTTCCATACTTGTTGCCAAGATTGATTTGAATAGAATAAAGAAGAAAGATGAGTCAGAGTAAACAACATTGAGTCAATCATTACTCTGCCTGTACTATTAGAAGAGCTGAACACATTTTTGCTTCGCAATGACTTACATTAGCATCTGTAATTGGTGACATTTCAGTTTATGTAAATCAATTTATTCTTTCGTAGATATTTGATTTTTAAATGAGTTATCAGTATATAGATTAGAGTGGCAGTCCTCTCTAGGGCTAAAATTTAACACAAGTTAATTGTTATCCCGAAATGTTATTAAAACTATTCCTCTTAAAATTCGAGAACCTTACTGAAAACAAACTTGACAATTCAATACACCGAAGCAATATCAACACAACAGCAAGTGAGAACATCAGGCCTCAAAAATTGGAAAACACATCAATGAAGACCGAAACAGGGACTGAAATAAGTTATCACGGAAAAGTAGTTGCTGTACACTTCATAGACCACATGACTATTTACCTATAAAAGATCGATTCTGTGTCAACGAAGGCTCTTTGGTTTACCGAGCAGTGAAGCCAGTTTGCCTCATTTTGAGACACCTAAGCAAAACTGAACTAGACGTCTGAAGCGGGAAAAGTCATGGTCCTCTCCGTCCACACTTCAGTTCACTACTAGAGAGAACTTCAAAAAAAAGGTATCTATGCACGTAAAAAGGGTATATGAGCTCCTACATTTGACTTGCAGCATCATCCTGCTGAGCCAAAGGAAGCTCCACATATAGAACAAAGTAACACTGCATAGCTTCACGCACGTACTGAACGTCCCCATTCATCAACCTAACCAGCTTCCGACATATGTTCAAACCTAGTCCTTCTTGGGTCATGCCTTTGCCTTTATCAAACATCTCCAGCACAAGCTCTTCAGGAAGCCCAGCTCCAGGATGGCTTACTCTGCAACCAAGGACAAGTACCACACATTAGTTTCTCAATATTCAACCTAATTGCGATAGGAATGTGAGAATATGCTGCAAAGCATGTATCCAACGTCACAGAAATCAAAATTTATATGCACCAAAAAGCGGCAGGGGCACCAGAGAACTGGCGCACAACAGTACCTGAATTCCAAGTGCATGACATGCTCATTCCCACCAAGCCGTTTCCTTGTAGGGACCACCTTGATTTTGACCCAGCCTTCAGAGGAAGGCGTAAAACGCACTGCGTTTAATAAGAAATCAGAGAGAACTTGCTGGAGCCGAACCTGGTCTCCAAACAAACGCATAGTGATTATTTCCCGAGGAGTCTCTCGAATGATCTGAAGCCCCTTCTCACGGGATATCGTCATACCTTGACTGATAACGGCGTCCATCACTGTACGCATCTCAAATTCAGCAGTATCCAACTCCAAGTACCTGCACCAATGGAAAAATCATATGCCAAAGTCGTCTAAAACCTCTGAAGTGAAGTTTGATTCTGTCAAATGAATAAGATCTACGACACTGCACAATAGCAAGTTTGCTCTCAAGCAAGGCTTGCTTAAACTATTATAAGCATGTAACTAGAATATAGAAAATACTTAGAAAGCACGTGATCAAATATGACTCAAAGCAAGAAATAATCGCAAATTTGGAACAATAATTACCCGTCTTCGATACTCTCCAAGTCCAAGTCATTCAATACTTTTTGCAACTGCTGCTCGCACACAGCACTTGTGTCTAGAAACTGCTTCTGATCATTTGAGAGATCAGTGTCTTCTAGCAGTTGCCGAGTGAATGTGATCCCGCATAGTGGATTCTTTATCTCCTGACGAATGTATGCAAGCTCCTTCAGCTTCGCTATTGCGACCTTCTCTGTAGCTTGCTGTACTCTAAGGGCCTGCATAGACAAGGATGTAAGTGTTAATTCATTTTAATTTTCTGATACAAGATGGTCAGTCTTAACTTCGTCTTCCAGAAAATTGAGTCGCTTCGAAATCGGCCTCCAAAACATAGATGTTCGCATAAAATAACATTAACGATTATGCAGGTAAAGGTGCCAACATTCAAACCAAGCGAATGTAGAATAATTGTATTCCACTATAACGCTGGCCATTGCAGCCAAGGATACATTGTTCTCCACTAGGGACCGTCTTACCTGTTGTAGCTCCGAACTCGCAATTTGTAAGAAGCAAATGACGCCAGTTATAGCTCCATCAGCATTAGTGCGTTTGTTGGTTGAGAGCAGAGCATCAACATACCTCCCTTCTCGATCAAAAAAGGAGAGGGAAAATTTATCTGTGTTTTGCCCATCCATGGCCGAGTTCAATGATATCATGAACTTGGTCATGGCGTCTTGACTCTTCATCTGGCAACACATCTTTTGCATGCCAAAAATCTCTCCTACAAGAAGTTTTCCGATCACCTAACCATGTAAGGAAAAAGGTCAGCTCCGGGTAATTAACCAGGCCTGGTCTGCAACAAACTGAGCCTCTAAACTATTCTTGACAACCAAATCAATCCAATATGATATGAGGGCACTCAAACTTACAGGTGAAAAAAAATGTGCAGCGTGCACATTGCGTAAGTAAAACAAAATAAGCTTTTATAAACAACCCTGTAAAAAAAAGACACTTACTTCATCTCGCTTCCAACCAGTCAAACCCTCCATGGCCGGATTCCATTCGAAACAGTATCCAAATTCGTCCGCACCAAAAATAGGAGGGATGAGAGGGTGAGGATTCTGCACTATGGTTTTGTAATCACCCTGAATACGAGTGAACTTGTCCATAAACATTTTTTGTCCAGTTACATCCTGACCAACAAAACAAACGCCAACAACATTCTCCGACACGTCTCTACTAGCGCAGGCATTAACAATCAGAATAACCGCTCCTTTCACAGTTTGAGCGCCAAAGGTCTTCAATTTGATTTCCACCCCCTGCTCTTCTTCACCTGTAGCAACAGAAGCAACTCAGAATCAGCACCACAGAGGTACAATATGAGGGATAAGAAACAGTCTAAACGGAATAACATTTTTTTCGGTGAAAGAATATACATCAAAACTCAAAATACGTACATATTCTGCATGTACTGAAAAATGAACAGGTCTCAGAACAGCTTGCTAGATACTCTAGTAGAGGGCCGAGAAAATTTCGAAGTACGAAATAAACACGGAAAACGAACAAGCTCGTACAGAAAACTACCTCGCAAAGCCAGATAAAGTAGTCTTTCAACAACCTCCAATGACTCATCCATGACGAGGTCTTTCACCAAAGATCTGCCCATAGCCTCAGCAACCGGAAGCCCTGTTTCTTGGGCTATTTTGGCATTCCAGCCATTTATCATTCCATTTGAATCAACTGCCAGAATAGGGGCGGTCGCAGTTTCTATCAACCGTACCATTTCATTCGCTACAATGCTAAGCTCATCCATATCATGAAGCTTCAAATCATTCAGACGAGCATGAATCATAGTCTTTGTGTCGCTGTCATCGATGTCCTGAAAGGATCCACGTAGAATAAGCTGAAGAGAATGTATAGCGTCCATTTCTACATCCTCCCAGGGTAGACTTCGTCGTTTCACGACCTCCAAAAAGGCTTTGAAAGAGCTTCTGGGGTGCATTTTTCGATTATCATCTTTTTCGCCTGGGTCGTGTTTGGCACCACCCCACTTTATCTCTTTCGCAGTGTGAGATCTGAACCAAAACAGAAAATCTTTGGAAGTGATCTTTGCAGCTGCCATACCACACACAGCATCCCCAAGGAGGTGTGCGGCTGGGTAATTGGCATCCGCTAAGCTATCAGTACTGAGTCCCGTTGAGTCCTTGTGGTACTCTAGCAACCATTCTGCAATATCTTTAATTTGACTTTCGGTCGGGGTCGTGCCCAAAAGCCAGAATCGTTTCCCATAATAAAGAGCAGCTCCATCACACTTCACAAGATCCATAATGTTTGGAACCTGAGACACAATACCAATGGGGGCATCTCGAAGAAGCATGTCGCATAAAAGAGTTTGAGTTCTGAGAATATGTTTTTCCCTAAGCTGAGCGGCTAACTCGACCTCCATGTTAAGCTGTAAACCAAACACCTGCATTAAAAACTCACACGCAGACCGAAGTGGAAATGGCACAGTACGTGGAGATGTGTGATGGCACACTACTAGCCCCCATAGCTTTCTACCCCTTTGAACTGAGCCACGAGAATCGTCCTCGTTATCATTGATGATCACGGCCATGACTATCGATGAAATGGACCCCATGTTGCCCATGTATTGGGCATGGCATCCGTGAGGGGAACGTAAAGTCGAACCTGCCAAGCTGACTGGCTGCCTTAAGTTTGGATCTTGTACAATTTTCACTGGAGGAGCAGAACAATCACCAATCATCCGGACCCTGTTCTTCATAAATAGAAACCGAGACGCCTGGGGAATGTCAGTGGCCGGGTAATGAAGACCCAAGTAGGGCTCAAGATCCGTGCGACGAATTTCTGCGACCACCTCACCATGCTCATCCTCATGAAATTTGTAGGCCATTACCCTGTCATACCCAGTGAGCTCTCGAACCTCCTCAACAACAGTGTCACAGAGCAGTCCTATGTCACCCCCAGGTAGTGCTTGGAGCCGTGTAATTGCCTTCGCCGCAAGTTTATGAGATTGCAATGCACCATCAGCTGATATTGTAACATCGTTCATATTCACCGCCTCAAAATCGATGACTATGCCTATGTCTATGCGATGTGCAATGGCATACAAAGGTTTTTTAGATCTGCAATAGACGGTGATCGGATTGAGTAAGCTTATTTCTTGTGTTTCGGCCGCCTTCTCGAGAGAGGCAGCACTTGAAGGGGTGAACAGCGTTCTCACATCCGTCCCGATTCCTAGCGTGTTTATTTCCCCAATGTTTGGTACAGCTTGCGGCATCAGATCTAGGAACTCGGGTGCATTTTCACTGTACGCTATGACACGAAACCCTGTCTCCTCAACTGCAACCATGCACCCAAAGGATTGAGTGAGTCCTCCCCTCTGCATACGTTGGAGGTAGGCAGTCACTGCCCCAGTATGAAGAGACCCTGCTGTCGATTTGCTGACAGATTTTGAGTAATCAAAATTATCTCCAGAAACTCCGGACTTTTCAAACACAGCATGAAGGGCTGCATCTGCCGTAGTTTGAGCGACCCTCACGCTGTGGGCCTTCGACTTCGCCGAACTTGTGGAGGAGTAAGTCTTCTTCGGAGCCGACATCTTGCTATATTACTGGAACTTCTTAGCTGTGGAAGAAACTGCAAGGTATAAATGATTTCTTGGAGGCAAAACCTCCTCCTCGCACTAGTAGATCCAAACAGTATTTATGGACCCACTAGTGGAAGAGGACTCTCTCTTGCAGGATAAACACGAACTTCCCGCGGCGCTACAGGATCATACTCAGAGTACCTACAATCACCTCTTGAACCCACGATGACTTCATAATTTATGTATAGCCTTTCCTGCACCCCAAGTCACGAATGCACGAATCAACTCCAAATCTTGTGAGCAGAACTGTAGCCGAGTGTCTTCAGATGCCCGATGGTAAGGGAACAAATAATCCTCGAGAACCTCAAAACTGCGACACCAATATGCTACGCATGAGGATAAATCGTTGGACAATTGATGATAAAAAGCGTGCAAGAATGCAAGAAACAAATTTACAAAAATCTGCTACGAAATCGCTCCTGAAAAAGAAAACCTTTTGCAACTACTGAAGAGATCCAAACAAGTGACTCAAATAGAATCACGAGTAAGTGAGATCAAAATTTACAGAGAATGTGGATAGATAAAGCATCTAAAGTGACTGACCATCGATGAATCAAGACGAAAGTCTCAACGCACTTACTAACAGAGGGACAACACACACCACCAAAGCTAATTTAGTTTAGCTTTGGTGAAAAAGTTAGTTTAGATCTAATACACACTGCATTTTATCAATGCAGGTAATCGAGTAGAACCTTCATACATACACTAACCAGGAAAATCTTAAGATTACAGACTGCTCGATCCCCCATTACAGTAATAATTCAAGAAAGGAAGAATTCAAATATAAAATTATTTTTGAGTGATTTCAGAAGTCTACCAAAACATATGATTATCGTCCTTTATACACATATTATAGTGCAAATCACTTTTCGTTTCGAGAACGCCAAACCGATCCTAATTACTTCATGAAAATACACCAGCGAACTAGGTCCTGATCCATACATCGTCCACAGAGCGAAACTAACGGCCAACCACACGAATGGAAAAAACCAAGTTCCCCAACCATTTCATGAAGTTCAGTGGGACACCAAGAACTAGTTTATGACTCCAAGCTCCTCAATCTACAGCGCTAATAACACATTTGAAGGGTGTTAAATTTGATGAATTAATGTATCATGTTTTCAAGTAACAGGGAGTTATTGGTCACCACTGATTACTTCCTTTCACGAAATCGAGGCTCATACTGAGCGGTGAAGACCGCAACTGTGGAGAACGAAGTACAACACAATCATAAACAAGGTGGGACGACACCTCTCCAGATATACGCGTTTGATGCACTCAACATTTACTCCGAATCACCAACTCGAAAAGGCTCTGCTGATGTAGCGCCTTCCTAGTGTTAAAAAGAGTTACGCTAATACTCCCATATCACGTTTATTAGAAGAGACACTGATATTGCAAGAGCCTAGAACCCCAGTTCACTAGTATAAACTACTGAGCACAGTATTGACTTCTAATTTGCTGAATAATATGATGGTGCATCAAGTTGAAACTCGATACGTTTCGAAAAAAAAAACAAAACAAAACAAAAAAAACGTGACGATCAGCTGTTCTCAAACGGCGTATACCATTCTCCAAGTTCAGTGTCGAAACCCAAATAACATGTTCCAAGTCTATTTCACCTCGTATGTCGCTACAAAGCCAGAAATTTGATCGAGACTTGACCGAAATCAAACATGAATATGCGTACAAATTCTACTGCTGCTTACGAGAAACCCTTTGCTGTTTCCAAGCAAAAGATCAGATGAGATAAATTACGCAACTTAACTACTCCGCAGTTAACTCGTGCAAGCTCCAATTTACAGCAACGGCGAAGCCCCACCCAAAATGACGTGGCACGAGCTGAAATTGCCCTCATTACACCGATACATTTGCATTCACTACAACATTCGATTCTGCGTGCTAAAACCTCTACGCGTGGCACCGCGGAAACGGCCAATTGTCCTCGTGTAGCGCCAATCTCACTACCAGTGAAACTCACATATTCACCTCACCTCCAAATCTCCACCGCAAAACAAATGAACCTCATCAATAACGCAAACTCACAAATGGAACACTCCGCTTCGTTCCCAAAACACATTCGCAGCCCCTTCCCTGACCACGATATTCCTCACCCTGCCGTGCCAAAACCTCACACACTCTGCCACTCACGACCCTAACTCCTCACATCCCCACATCCACACCTAATTCAATCGCACAACCTCAGATCAACGAGAAAAAGAGCAAAACAACCTCGCATTCGCAATACGACCGCTCTAATCACACCAAAACCAAATAAACAGAAAAAACACAGAATAACACTGGGGAAAAAATCAAAACACAAAAAACAACACGAAAAATAAAAGTAAAAAACACCGCTACTCTCCCTATCTCACACGGAACGGAAGCCCGAAACCCGGCAATCTCCGGAGCCAGGAGCTACCGCAACCCCGTGAAGGATCATCGCCACCCGCCACAGGACGGATTCAAGCAACGAGCATGTCCATGAAACACTCACCAAGTCTCTCACGCAAAACGCCCCGAATTCGGGTGCCGTGCATGCATGAAGCGAAGGGAATTGGTGCTCCAGGCAAAGGAACGTCGAGCGATGCGGAAGAGAAAGCGAGACAGACAGAGTGAGAGAGAGAGAGTGTGGCTTGGCTTGGCTGGGCAACCAGGTCTCCCTTTGTCTTGAGGCTTTGTCTTGAGGCTTTGTCAGGGGGGCCACGATCGATTATTCATATTTGGAGCAGACCACAACACCACCACTCGGTGGCCGGAACTGGGCAAGCAAACGGATGCGAAGGCGACGGGGACGGGAGTGGGTGCCCCGACCCGGGCCCGGCCCTCTCGATGTCGCAGCATGGGTCCATTCTGGTGTCAGCCCCACTCTCCCCCCCCTCGCCCGTCCCGTTCCCATCCCGTGATCTAATCCCTTCCCCCTCTCCCCCGTATCTGTACTCCCTACGTACCTCCCCTATCTTTTGTACATATTCTATCCATATTGTACTTATGAGGGCTCTTTTTTGTTTTGGGTTGTTATGAATCAATTTTTTGTTTTTTATCTTTTTTTATTATCTTTGGATAAGATGTATATTTTTTGTTGTAAAAGTTCAAAGTTATACTAATTCAATACGATGTGAACTAAATATTAATACAGTCTTTAACAAAATAAGGAATCAATTCTAATCAGCTTTGTGGATTGTTTTGAGAATGGTGTGAGTGATAATTCCTCTGTTAATATATTCAGTGGATTTTATTTTTCATCTTTGTTGAAATGTGATTGTACTTTTGGTGTAAGAGGATTTTTTTGTAATATATATATATATATATATATATATATATATAATTAATAGGATCTGGTATTAGAAGCAAGTACATTATAACAATTTGGAGTTCAAAAACGAAGTTGGATTTAATAGTATGGATTTTTTCATATCAAAAAAGACATATTAATGATACTAAAAGCATCTTCAAATATTACATATGTAAAAGTTGCTATAAATATATGTATATGTATATATGCATGTATAAGTTAGGATATAAGTTGTTAAATTTATTATTAGAATTATAAAATGTATTTTTTAGTAATAACATATTTTATTATACATGTATATATAACAACTCAAGAGGAAAAACCAATGGAATAAACAAGAAGAAACAAAAACCATCTTTGTTTGGTTATATCTCTCATTGCTTTTATCAAAAGTGAAGCAAAACTTGAATTTACATAGCCTTAACAAAACTATGTTAATGTTGATTGTATCAATGTTATGGATACATTGTATATGAAACCAAACAAGGAGTTGAACAGAAGAGTTTTAACAAGAAAGCTAACAAGAAACTATTTAGATAAATCTATTATATTTCTTTGAGGTTGCATAGATAAGTGTAATTGCATTATGTAGAAGATACTTTTGAATCTTTTATTAATTTGCATTAAAGTATTATAGCATAGTAGGTTTGAACTCTATTATAACAAGATAATGAAATAACAAGATTATCCAATAAATATTTTAATAAATGATAACTAATCATTTGTCTTTTTTCTATTTAAATTATTAATTTTATTATTATAATTTGTTTTAAAAAATTCAAAGGATTTATAATCAACTATTTTAAAGTGGATGTTGCATGTTTCTTCCATCAATAATTATAGGTTGCCTCAAACAGCATTAATAATTTTGAGTGTGCTTGATGTTGTATACCAAAGACAATCATGTTTAATTAAAATATTTGGTTTAAAATATCAGTTTTGAGAAGATTGTAATAACATTGATAAGTGATTGGGTATTTAAAAAAAAAGAGTAATCTACTCTATTCTAATGATAATGATAAAAAAAAAAAATTGTCAAAGATAAATAGTTTGCAACCTTTAAGATTGAATTGTTTCTTCTTCTTTTTTTATAAAAAAGTTGGGTTGTTCTTGTTGGGAACTGACCACTATAAGTTACTATACCCATTCAAAGATAGTTATTCCAAAGCTGTTAAGTTGTATACAATACTAATATAAATGATGTTGATATAAAATATTCTTGTATTGTTAATAACTTAGATATGTATTTTATAATTCGAAACACGTATTTGATGAATTTGAAATATTAAAAAGATGTATTATTAATACCAATAATCAAATAAATATATTTTCTTTAAAAAAAATTCAGATTCTGGCTTTATGTTATAATTCTGTATTTCAACACTATCACAAACAGTTTATATGATATTGCATTTTTTTGATGTGTAGATCAATTATTTGTAAAAGTAATTTAAAAAAATTCAGTAAAAACACTTTCTGTTTTCTATGTGCATGATTGCTACATTGAATTCCAAACATTAATTCCATGTCTCATTATGATTTAAGGACAAATAATCATTTGCATTCGATTTTACATGCCTCAATTATGTTTTAATTTTTGAAAAGCTTATTTGAGTTTTTTATTTCATGTTTTTCTACATGATGTTTCATTTCATACTTCGTTTTGTTTGTTTCATTTCATTCTTCGTTTTGTTTTGTTTGTTTGTTTTGAACATACAAATTTATTTTAATAAATAATTGATTGAAAAAAAATTCCTTCATTTTTTTCAAGTCATGTTTTGTTTGACATAATTATTTTACAATAACAGCGAATTATTCTACGAATACAAAAAATTACTCATGATACAAATTATGAATTTGCAACAGAGAATGCTATCAGCATTAAAGTTGCAAGCTCTCATAATCACATGAAAAGCAACTTTATTATGAAAATTCAGCAGCAGTAGAACCTTCAAACATGATCATATTCAAAGTAATTCATACATGTCATAGTTTTTGTTTAAAATAAACACATTAAGATTTATTTTTTCTTATTTACAAAGAGGAAAATAAAAAAGAAAGAAGTAAAGATTTATGAGAAGTTGTCTTCAACAGCAGTATAATAATTGTTTTATAACGTATTTTCCTTTCAAAGGTCTTATCCCATATTTAGTTTAAAATAGGGCATGCAGGAGATTCTTCGATGGTTTCCATCTGGCAAGGTAGCAACTCCATGGTAGGGATTCAAACTCACTACTTTTTTAGGACAATTTTCATTGTTTTTTTAAGTATATTTGTCATCAGAAAATACGATTTTTTAAGAGTGGATGTGCACAATATTGTGATGATATGATGAACAAATTCAATGATGCCGTTATTATGCAAAGTTTTATTATATTACGGCCATTGTTGAATGTGTACTTTTAATTATAGTATTCCCTTTATTTGTTACATACCAAGAGCTGAAAATAAATGTGAGTCTCTTTGTGGCCCTTTAGTCCAATGGAGGAAGATTAAATCTACTTCTAATACGTATACATACATTCAGCCCTTTATGTCCTTTATATTTTGTATGCAATCTAATAAATCTACTTCATCAATTTCAGTAATATGTGATGTGTAGAGTACAAATATGAAAAACTGTTGAAGTAGTTAAACAAAACATCTCTTGCAAAACAAGCAATAATTTGATAATCATAATGCTCATTCAAACACCAAATGATTTGACGAAGTTGATCTCCAGCAATAATAGGTCAAGGACACAAGACAAGATACAATAAAGAATAATTGGAACATAAAACTCAAGAATGTTGCATGATGAATCAAAAAAACGACGATAAACCAACCACAACAAACACTGCAAATGTGAACCACATTTTAACACAATTTGATTGATTGATTGATTGATTGATTGATTATTAATTTATCCTCCAAATCACAAGTGTAAATTAAATAATCCAATAAAACAATCGGTAATTAAGCATCCCATGACAACTGGAAGCAACTCCCTGCAACTCGGCAGTAGTTTTATTATTATTTTTGTTTTAAAAGAAAACATAGTATTTTATGTATTATGGCATGACGCAGTATTATTATTGATCTCATTTGATTGTTTATTTTTAATGAATATCAAGCAGAATAAGCGGGCCAAGTGGAAAGCTGCCGGGACGGGTCGAAATATCCCGGGCCCGGCCCCACCGTCAGATGACCATGCAGGAACCCGGTGCCGACTCAGCAAGGTCAACACGCCGATCGTAAGGCCGTACCAGAGCATGGCCCCCACCCGATTTAGAGCCTGGGGCACATGCCCTCGTCCAGCTCACGTGGGCAATTGAATGACATGGCCAGGTCGCACCCCCCGTCAATGAAGCCCATGCTCCGCACTCTCACTGCCCCCCAGTGCAGCACAACGCAGTGCATGAGAACTACGGAGCTTCTGGAACCCCAACCTCGATTTAGGGTTTCGTCGCCTGCACCCTCCGTTGTTGCTGATCTCCCCACCTCTCTCGCCGTTCTTCGGCACTACCTCCCCCCGTTCCCCTGCTTGCAAAAATGCACCGCCGCTCCGCTTTCCGGGGCTCCTGGTTTCGAGGCGAGAGGAGGGAGGGAGCGAGCAAGCGCAGGCTCTGACTCCCTCCCGATGCCGCCGATCTCGGTGCCAGCACCGTCACCGATCCACTGCGCGATCTCGATGCTTGTTCGCTTCGCAAGTGATTTTGTGTACATGTCTTCATTAATCGCAGACACAAGTCATAAGTGAATTAAAGGCTATGCTGTTGTAATTTGTTCTTATTCGAAAATATGGGTTCGATATCATTTGATTATAAACTCATCCTTGTTAATTTTTCACTCTATACATTACAAAAGAACGTGGTGTATCAAAGTTAATGTAGGTATTAATGTGAAGATTAATACGTATATATTACATTTTAAAACATCATTGTTCCCTTTAAATGTTTGTTTAATTTATAAAAATTTCATGAACTAAATGTAACATACAACTTAAACCATTGCGCACAATAATACAAACTTGCTTATTTACAATTTTATAAAAAACAAACCTATAAATAGAATGCTTGAAACCAGATTGTACAAGAGGTAGCTAATGCTACTTCAAATTTCACATAAGTATATGCATGCTAATTATAATTAATAACACTGATAAATAATAATTACTAATTATAACATTGACAAGATAAAAAATAAAATAGTGTGGTGCTTAATTTGAAGAATTCTCACTTGATTTAAATTACATGGAACCAATTTATCAATTTTATTAAAATACCCAACATGCTCTTACAAGTCACTGTATATATATGCAAGTATTTCGGTAATCAGTTTAAATCAATATCAGAACATTATAAAATTACACCACGTAAATCAATCGAAACTCCCATAAAATTTTCTCAAGGTTCCTCGAATCCGATACCTT